CACACACACACACACACACACACACACACACACACACACACACACACCCTCCAGGAACAGATTTTCTGGCAGATTCTATGACAAATGCACATGTGAGCCCACTCAGAAAGGTGAGCACACACACAAAAAGCATTCAGTAGAGACGCATCAGATCTATGTGAATAAGCAGATTCTGTATTGTCCGTTCACTGGGACTGCAGCACGGCTCCTCAGCCTATAGTTCAATTGTAACCAAATCTGAACTCGTTGCAAGGCTCCCAGCGGCACACACAAGGCACGAAAAGAAGCCTGCTGCTTCGGATTCCGTCCCTAACCAAAACATGAAAGACATTTTCTAGCCGTGCCTGTCAAAAGGGGTTGATAAAAGGGGGCTATGATTGAAGGATGCTCCCTGTCCCATTGACACCCACATAGGCTCTGACCTCCAGATGCTAGGTGGCTTTTTTGCGACGCTAATCTAAGACACGTTCATGTGGAGTGAAAGTCTACAATGTGCTGCCCAGACGGCTTGCTCAAAGCTGAGGAAAACAAAAAGGGGCTTCTGCACGAGCCTGCTTCACATTTCCCAGTGATGCGTCATTTTGCTATGATGCGCTTTAGATCATCGTGCACGCTACAAAAGAAATCAGAGGCTCTGGGATGTTTAGATTGACCCAACAGACCTTCGCCTGGTCTGGCATGATGAACAGGGTCTCCTCTCCATCAGCTCCTCTTGCTGACCCTCGGGGTCATCGTGTCAAAGCACGCACAAATCAAGCAACACCACTTTTTCTTTTACCCTCCCGAGCAAATGCAACAAGCAGATACACAAAAGCTTCACTCAAAACAGATGCAAACACACTCACACATGCCAGTGTACCTACGAAACAAACAAAATCAAGCAGACCTTTGTTCATTTGCAAGCGCAGAACAATTACTCTTGTACACACATGCACACAAACACACACACACACTCTTCTGTTATACATGCTATGATGCCATTGCCGTGAGAGGGTTTACAGAGAGGTATGCATAGCCGGCATTCCTCACTGACAGCTATGTAAAAAAAAAGACCCCATTACGAAACCATGAGCAGACGTGAGCATCAGAGAAATATCTGGACAGGCAACTCTGCATTCCTTTGTTTCCCCAGTAAAAAGAATTACAGAAGTAAACTCCATGTTTTTGGCAGACTCAGCAGAGGCACTAAGCCGTTTTGTGCCATTGCCATCATACAATAGCCGAGTAGAATAACTTAGGAGCTAGCATCTATAAAACCATGACTGCATGGTGACGCAGTCGGGCCAAAGGAAATTGAGCATGATGTGGGAGAAGCAAACTTAATGAGACGTAACCGAGGACAGAACCAGAAAACCTCAGTGAACCCAAACATGAAGCAGACAAATTACAACTGCATGTTGAGGGAAAGGCATCGGCACTCGCCATGGAATCACTTTCTTTGTATTTATCGTTTCATTACACCGACACCTCAATTAATTACAATTAAGCTCAATGTAAATGTGTGTACAGTGTGTCACAAAGTGCTTTCTCACTGGTAGTTTAATATTTTCATTAATGGTTTCTGTTGCCCAAATGAACAATCCTGAACAGATTGTGATTAAAAGAAATGAACAGAATCAGCCCTTGAAGTTGTGAGAAAGATTTTACTGCACTAACATCAGCTATGTTATCTATGATTTTTCATATATTTGCTATGCATTAATATTGAAAGTCTACAGTCACACTTGCAGCTTTGTGAGATTATACACAGCAGTGCTTCCAGCTTAATGCTAACGCTAACGGTGTCATTCCTTTTGCCGGTATTTGTTTTAACAAACCAAAGTATTGCACAACTTTGAATTTTTACCTGAGGATGAACCTTCCACAACATCTATTAAGCCACGTCACTAGCCTGGCCTTGAGTTTAGATACCAATATTTTATATACTTAATTTGAGTATAAAAACGTTTTTCTCCCAACTGTTTTGTCTAAATACTTGTCTTCATACAAGCGGCCGTAAAAGAGCATTGCCTGAATAAAGAAGCATAAAAATGGCAAAAATACAATGTATGTAACATAAAGTCAAAACAATTGTATTTATATAGCCCAAAAACGCGAATTAAACAAACAAACAAAAAACCGGCAATGTGAAGTGTCTCTGGAGATTGTTTCTGGACACGTTTCCCTCTATGATTAATTGAGAAAATAATCGTCTGATTAATTGATAATGAAAATAATCGGACACATTTCCGCTGGAATCCGCCCTAATTTTGTGTCAATATCTTGATGCTGATTCCTATCGCCCGGCCCTTCTCCCTGGTGGTTGACTTTGACTCGCAGGCGCCTAAACTCACCGTCTCCTCATGAGGTCGAGGTGTTAGGTAGCACCGAGGATGTGTTGTCCATTTCCTTTATTAACACCACAATGTTGCGGCCACTGCTGCTGTTGTGTGTTTTTGTGCGAGGATCCCTCATCCAGCGCAGATGCGAGAGCCCACCCAGGGCCCAGTGAGCCCGCTGACGCCCATATTCATCAACAGCGTGTCACTTTTACGAGGTGGCTCTGTGGGAACCTGAGAAAGAGCCCCCCCCCTACTGCCTCCTACTCTACCGAACGCAAGTCAGCCAGCCCCCTCCTTAGATGAAATTACAGGAAAACTTCATTAAAAGGCAAAGGTGCTGTCAGCTGCTGGGCCCTTTTGATCAATATTCCCTTCCAAGTTCAACGCCTTCATTACAGCGGTGTCACTCAGTCACAAGAGGGCACACACACACACACACACATACATACATACACACACACACACACACACGTGTCGGTCCAGTTCAGGGGGTTGAGGTATCACTATATGGCGAGGGCGGGGGTGAGGGGCCAGGACAGAGAGCGAGAGGCGCAGCAGTCCCATAACAATTCTCTTGGCTAAAAAACAGCAACATGAAACAGAACAGTTTGGAAGCATTCTCTGAGTTATCGTAATTGTCCAAAGCAATCAACTTCCTAATTGTTTATAGTTTCCATTTTCCGGTGTCTTTCCCTCGGTGCTTTCATGATTTATTTTGGAAGAGGAAGAGTTGCGATATAAAGCAAACAATCCTGCTCTCTATCCAAACAAGGCAAAAATAATCTATTGGCTTTGTTTGTCTGCCCCACCATCTTTTTCCAATATGAAATGTTCCAGATATAATTTCGCTCGGACAGCGAGCTCAGCGGCTGCCAGTGTGTCTTATGCCTATAAATCTCTCAGAAAACTCTCGGGAGTCTTCTGCACAAAACGCGGCCGATAAGAACTGAAGGGGAGGAAGCGCAGGGCGTTCAGGCTTCAAATACAGTATGCTGCATGTTATGTGTGTGTGTGTGTGTGTGTGTGTGTAGAAATCCACTGCTGTCTCTGGTAAGCATTTTTATTTCTCTTTCAAACAAACTACAAAAGGCCTCGAAGTAAGTACTAAATAATGAAAACATATACAAAACAGTGCGTAATCCTGCAAAATAAATTGCTTCCAAATCACATCCAACAATCCCTCTCTAGTCAGAGTTGGTGTGCAGGTTCTGTAAAGCCCCTTCATCTTACCAGAAACATTATGCGGTTAATAACCGTTATGTGATGTTTGAAATCCACGACCCTTGAAGAATTCCCTTGTTGAGGGATGAAATCCACAGAAAATAGCGATATAGTCTATCGCCAAACATCTTTCGTTCATCATTTTAAATGCATCTTGGCTTGTTGGTCTCCTACCTTCTCTGTGCTGCATTGAGTCGATCCTCTTCAGCTGAATGCTCCCTTTGAGCTGGAAAGAAAAGAGAAAATATTGGATTAATACATATCGTGGGGCAGATTATGAGGCTTCTGGTGACAAAGATAACCAAACGTTTCCACTGACAAAATGATCACAGGAACACCGGCGGGTCCAGAGGGGGGCGCTGTGTTCATTAGCCGTCCTTAAGGTTGTCAGTCGAGTACGAAAAGAGGAAGAAAAAGGGCTCTGGGTCGAGATGTCAGTGACACAGCGAGCATGTTACCCAAGTGACAGTTAAGCACACTGTAAAGTTTGACATGCTTCTGTGTGTTGACGCACGAGAGCGTGATCCTCGCGGCGGGGAGCGGCGGCCCGTTTGCGGAGTGTGTGTCGACAAACATGTGCGTGTTCTAAGCTGAACCGACGCAGGGGCGCAGGGTTGAGCAGAGAGGCTTGGGAACTGGAGGCTCCTGTGGACTCCTGCCATGTAAAAGTGTCTAAATGCAAGGCAGATGTGTGCGGCGGGCCAGGCCGAGGTGCAAGAATTTATCTAGGGCCAGAGAGTGCCTGTGATCTCAAATTTATTGCATTTTCCAGATTCATCCTTTTTACAATGATGGGGGACCTTTCCTACTTGAAGATTTAAGAGGGGGAAGTCTCCAAAAAATTGTTCAAAGGCAGGTTTGGGGGTCTTTTGGGAGAAGGTAAGCTTAAGCCTCCGACCAACAACCCCTTTTACTCTTTTTTTTTTTGTTGAACATGTATGTGGGCAAGTGGGCTGAGGTAAACCTAATGAATGAAGGTTGTGGCTATGTCTGGGATAGAAGGGGGGGGGGAGAGTAGAGGGGCCGTGACCAATGGCGTTAGTCTCAGTGGGGGTCAGGCTGGCGCCTGAGGTACCCCTCTGGTGCGATTGTGTAGAGGTGGCACTGGAGCCGAGAGGCTGAGGGAGAGTGAGAGAGAGAGACAGAAAGAGAGAGAGACATAAAGAGCGACAGAGAGAGGCCCGGAGAGAGAGGATGTGTGAAGTTTCTCTTCCCTGCGCAAACATGAAACCAGTAGTCGCTAACTAGAAAGTTATGAGATGTGCATGCTGAGAGGGACAATAAATTAGGGCTTTAAAACTCTGACACACTTTTCCAAACTGCTGCTATACCTAGCAGCTAGATAACAAAGAGATGGGAAGCAGTCTACAAGGGATGCTGAGCACGTTGAGGATTTCCACAAAGCATCCCTCTCCGTTTCCCTACATTTGAACACAGATGCATCTCAAGAGACTTCATCAAAAACAGCTTCCTTGGTTCCTTCGTTATCTGCAAATTCACCACCACCTACGTAATTCACGTTCATGTGAACAAGTGGTATTTTGGTTATTGGGGTCTGACTCACCGGCAACAAAGAAAGCGCAAGGAAATGATGATACATACACGCATTTCCACAAGAGAGCCAGTGAAATGAGAGTGACACCAGCAGAGATTAAAAGCAGGAATTTGTTTTCAATTAGTCACGGCTTGTATTCAACGCGAAAAATATGCCCGTAAGAGTATCCCCTGAGGTTTCAAAGAGCTCCTATTAAAAAGGGAAACGAAAAGGTGGTTGATTAGACGTTTAACCCACTGTGGGCTGTTTTCTCTAACTTTACTTGAGAGTATAGCTCTAAAGATTGAGAGAGAAATGAATTGCAGGGGTTAGAGAGGACTCGGATCAACACAGTGACGGAACGAGCACAGGATCGGCCTTACAAGAGAACGGATCACTGAATTTCAGAGGCTTCCCCCTGTTAGATCTGGGAGCGATCACACAGGCGAGTTTAAGAGGCAGAGCGCAGGGCGTTTGGGTTCATCTGCAGGCCCCGCTGAGAGCTTCTCCACAGGCCCGGGTTATGGGTCAGTGCTACTCGGAAACACAAGTCTTTATCTGTTGATTCACTGGTACACTTTGATCCTCTTGTTGAAGGAAGAAGTTATACTCAACGGTTAATGTCAATATCTAAAATCATGTGTCCAACACATGCATCTGTGGTCAGCCTCCTGAGTGTTAACCTGGGTGAGAAATTCACTCGTTCACTGGTGAGTCAGAGTTTAAGAGCCTCGGCCGCTCTTTGATGTGAGGAGCTGTTGCTTTGTTTTGCCTTTTGAAGCCATGGAATCATCACGAACGATGATTACGCACCGCTCCTCCCGAAGCATGGGCAACGGCTGGAGGAATTCTGTTTATGAAAGAGAGGTTTACAAGTATCCCACTGGAACGTTTATGTTCAAGATGTGCCTTTGCAAATCAATGCCGCTCTGTAGCCAGTGGCAATCGCAGCGGTTCTGAGAGCTTTCAGATATTCTGCGATACTGGGCCAAAGCTCCGAGGGAGGCTTTAGCTTTTCGGAGGAAGTAAAAGGTGGATAAGATAACTAGAACAATGTTGTGGCACATCACAAGAATAGTGGGCTCGGTATGCAGCAAACATCTTTTCAGGAGTTGAACTGCAAACACGGACTCCCCACAAATTTTCACTCTGCACCGCAAACATCTGGCTACAATCTCCCCCACGAGATACCTCATTTGACTCTTTTATGATAGTGAGTCTGTTGTTTCACCACTCTGCCCTTGCTGCAAGTAATGCAGGCAATTAGTCCTTTAATGCAGTCTGGTCCTTGTGTGATAGAGACACTTTCCTCTGTCGCCAAGACCGACGTTTTGGCTTGATGCCGATTAACACAAAGAACACATTGCATCTAAACTAAGTCCTCGCACTTAAAGGGTTGTTCTACCCAAATTAAAGAAAGCACATCTGTCACTTGCCTCTATACTGACATCTGGCCATGCAGATAGTTTTGGGCCTCCGAGTTTTCAGGTATCCGCCACTCAGATTTCTTCCTTCGTGCCATTACAATAGAGGTGAACAGGATTTTGTTTGATTATTGCATTCACTATTTTCAAGGCATCCTATAGCTGCCTGATGACCATAAAACATACATATCAGCCATAATATAAACTATCTGTATATTAATACAATACAGCTACATCTCATCCAGAGACAAGTAACCAGCCACTCTAAACAGTCCATAGACTTTTTTTTTTTTTTAGAAACTATTCCTTGGGTAGAAAAAGAGTTCCAATAAAAGATGTTCACTGTGAGGTCTGTGGATCTTATAGAGTAGCAGGGACACAGTGTCCTGCTGTAAATTTGTGCAAACCAACTCTTAAGACTTTAAGAAAAAACGGTGTGCTCCGGTGTCCTTCTGGCCTCTAATGAAGACTGTGATCTTCACTTATCTGCCGATTTCTGAGAGCATCTGTCCACAGGCTGCTGTGCAAGCTGCGATATACAGCACTTTGTATGAGAATGACCACTTCATCAAGGTAAAATCAATGATGTTGGCACAAGACATGGAGCAAACTGTGGCAAACTCAAAGGCCTTGTGGACATGGCCTTAATGGCATCCACTCGATTTGATAGAAGGCACAGTGTTGTGGCAGCTACTGCAACTACAACAGAGGCTGGGAAGACAAGTGTGTAGGTCAGAAAGGGGACAGCTGATGATGTGTCGGGGGAGGCTCTGCTCCTGTCCCGGTGGTCCGCAGACCTGATCCACTGAGGCCGGCCAGTCTTTACAAGGCCGCAGCCAGAGGCGTCCTGCCAGCTTTATGGCAGCCGAGAGTCCATGAGGACCATGTTAGAGGCCATGTGATTCCTTCTACAGGCCTGGAGACTCCTGTCCTCATGCTTTCTTACAGCGCACAGAGATGCCCTCTCCCAACACGAACACGAACACACACACAAACACACTTGCAATAAGACGGAGATTCTGCACCACCCAGCTGACTGTCTGACATGGCAAAAAACATAATTATACCTTCCCTCTTATTTAAAGGTCTCATGCTGCGTGTCTGGGTGAAAACAGGTCTTTTCTAGCCCTGTAAGCTCTGTTTCATGTAAATCCTCCATCCAAATGAATGTTTCATCTTTTAAAGACACTGAGAAAGTATAAGAGCAAAATTGCTATATATTTATAACTTGCAAACCATATGTGGAACAATATTTCCACCATGTTTCTGAGTCTACAGTTTTGCCCCAGATAAAAGAGTCTTGACTCACCAGCGGCGATGAATCCTTCCATCTTCTCCTTGAAGGGCTGGAGGTGTTCCTCTGACGGGTTAGCACACACCTTCTGAGTGGTCTTCTCACAAGCTGGTAGAGGGAACAGAGAAGACAAAGGAGGGAAATGAGGAGTGATATAAATGTCTCATCGTAAAGGTAATGCATAAAAACACATTGTAAGCGGTGAGGTGAGTCATTCGGGGATACAAACCAATTAAATAATAAGAAAACAAATGAATGAAAACTATGAAATTAGGTTCATTAAAACGTGATGAAGGGAAAGACGAGATCACTTGAAACAAGCTTCAGCTGTCTTCATTAAATAAATACAAAATGAAACGTCCAATTCTATCCAAAAAAATCCAAATGTTTTGCATTTCATATTCTATATTGTTCTTATCTTCTCTTTCTGTAACTGTCCCCTTTCTAAAGTGCATCGAGTTACTTTGTGATTCACACTTAAAATAAACATTTGCTGACTAAATATGCCAGGATGGAAAGCCACATGAACGTTACATGAACAGACAACAGTCATGACGGGGAGACGAAACTGGGATTTACACAAGGTTTGAAAAGAAGACATTTCACATAAGAGTAAACAGTGAGAGCATTTAATTCAATTGATGCCATTGGTGGAGAGCAGACCGCGGTTTACAAATCAGTAATATTTGTCTGTTGTTTTACATGTTGCCGTTTAATATTGTATTCTGAAAAGATACACATTTCCACTCTGTATTCTGCCCGGCTCAGACCCCTCTGTCCATGTGAGTGCAGCAGATGTGTGTTTGCTGTTTGTTGATGGGCTTTGTGCCAAATGACCCAACTCGCACGCGCTCAGAGCCATTTCCTCTCGACCGTAAGCCGGGGTTACTACCACACACACACACGCGCACACACGCACACACACACACACACACACACACACACACTTTGGCACATCCAACCTGTACGTCATTAATGGCTGCAATAAATACCTTAACTTGCTTACGACTGCATAGCGTAATAGTTCCGCAACACAACATGAGCATTAACAGGTCTGGCCGCTGTCTCACTGCGTCGCTGCTTTTAGATCCGAGCGTGTTTGCATGTGGAGCTGCTGCACCTGCAGCTCGGTGAACTCAAGTCTATTACATCTTTTATTTATTGGCTGTCTCAATAAATCAGACAGGAAACGCAACGTCTGCACATTCAAATTGAGGAGTAACTACGCACAGCCTCACAGGCTGGATTCCAGGGCATTTCATGGATAGAAAGAGCCGGCAGTGATCAAAAATAAAAAACAGAAATCAGCAACCATACAAACATGACCAAGATATCCTGTTTGGACAAACCACGTTTTCTTACCAGAAATCCCCCCCCCCCCAACTCAAAAGGACCCATTAAAACAGTGTTCAAAACAGCAAGTCTACAATTTAGAGGCGGCTCTCGTCCAAATGTGGTCCAGACAGCAAAGGCTGCAAGAAGGAAGCCCACAAACACACAGCAGCTGTAAAGAATAAAAAAATAAAAGCTCCAGTTTGAGACATTGTCTTGCAGTGATGATGCATATTTTAGAGGAGTGAATTGAAAAGGAGTAAACGCCTGACGCCATGTATCAGGTCACACAGAAATCAGATTCAGTAAAAGAGAAAGTTGTGGGAATATGTTTTTATGCCTCACACTATACCTTATCACACACAATGGCATACTCAAAGTATGTTGAAATGAAAAAAGTTATTTTTTTATAGGTTAAAAAGTATTTTACAAAATGTTTGTTTTAAATGTTTGTTTTCAACTTATTGTACATTATTTCTGCTTCATAAATATGCAGGAAATAAAATGATATATAAAGGGAAATTAAAGACTGAAACTTAAAAAAAGAACAACAGCTATCTTGAATTAACACCATGACTATTATTTAAGATATGCAGTGCACAGGTAAATGTTTAGACTTATAATTTAAATGCAAATATAGATATATCTCTGTAGTAACATGAATAGTCACAATATAATTATTGACATGCTGACTTGGTATTAGTGCTTCTAATAATCTGCAAAACTAAAATAAATGGAAAATGCAAGTGATTTTGAGTAATCAAAGCTGAATTATGTATATATAGAATTTATGTTTTTGATGTGAAAATCGAATTACCATTCAGACGTAGAAACCAAAATGACCAACCAACTAACTAGTCAGACAATAATTACATCTGTATATGTAATAAATACTTAATACTTAATACTTAACTTAACACATACATACAATGTGTCATAAGCAAATCATAAAGTGTTTTGGTTAAAGAATGATGACACAAATCTGTATCTGATAGTAAGTGTCCAATAGCACATAGTGTATCACTCCTACAACTACCTACAGGGTGAGAACGGATGAGATCGCAGGCAGTGAGCTCAGCATCTTTCGAAATGGGGTGCTAATGTCTTCTCCATCAAGACATCCCTCAACAGAGGCCTGTGAATATTTGTATGGCCAGAAGTAATCTGTCCAACCGGAGCCATGGGTACAGTACATCACCAGAGTCAGAGCTGGTATCCTGAGGCACTCAAGCAACATTTACAAACATGCATCCATTTCTCCAGCCCAATCCATCATATCCCAATGGGAGAAACTCCAGTTCTGTGTATTTTGAAGTAACACGACAACAGCTGTGGGTAAATGGGGTCAGCGGTTGGAGTTAACGGGAACAAAAACAAACAAACCAGCCAGACGTCTGCTCCAGGATTTATCATGTGTGGTTAGCAAAAGATGGGTGACTTTGATGTCAATATGTGCTTATGATTTTACCGCAGAAAGCAAGAGCCCCCTCTCCAGCTACCAGGAAATCACAGCACACCAAGACAATGCGCAACTGTGTGTGTGGATTAGAGAAAAAGCTTGGATGGGGAGCCTGCGGAGCGCCACAAGATGAACCTGCTGTGCGACGAACGCTTCGGTCTCGGAAACGCCCCGCCCACTCTCGTCTCTGTAGCTCTGGATCGTTATTTAAAGTAGAAACACTGAGGGAGCGAACCACGAGGCAGAGAAACGCATGATAATACAAAGTCTTTTTTTTTTTTTTTTTGCTCCTTTTCGTTTAAAAAGATCAGTTGCCAGCTGAACTACAGTTCCAACTGTTATTTTCAATTTTACAAGTACGCAAAATCAGATGGAAAACCTTAAGAAAAACGTTTTTTGGAAAATGTTTTTATCAGAGGTTAAACCAGTACAGTGCTCCAGCCGTGGCATATTCTAGTTATTTATACCTGAAGAGTGAAATTCTCTCGCTGATCCCCAATTATCTCCAATCCCAGCAGACTGTCCCTCCTCTCTACTGTATCAGGCTATTACCCCTCGGTAGAGATAAGCTAAGACACGCTCTCCACTCCTCATAAATCAACCCGCATCCATCACACTAAACCCTTCTCCTAAATTCTAACTGGAGAATACTGTTCTGACAAGCAGAAACATGAGGCAGGACTCTGAATATGAGGTAAAGCATTAACTCTTGTTAAAATTTGGATGCTGGGAGCATTAAAATCCCGAGAGAATGCTACGATTAGTCAGCAAAATATTATCTATAATCGTCATACTCACTCAATCTGTGAAGAGTCTTGTTGGGTAAAAGGACTTCTATATCATGGACAGATCTTATTCTTATTTAATGTGCAGGCTGTTTTCAACCAATCACTGACAAATGAACAAACATTTAGCTTAACTTTTGTGTTGTTTGCTCAGATGAGCGGCGACTGTACCTCAGCACGCCGACGTCACACATCCCGCTCCGAGCGGAGCCTACGTCGTAAAACAGTCCTCAGGCTAAAGGCCCTGCCTGAACTTGACATTAAAAGGCCATTTAAAATCAGGACACTGTCTGATTCTCCACGGTGATGAATGCTTAACCTGGGTCAGGCCTTCTGTGAAACACTAAACTCCCCTGAGCAGCAAATGAGCTCTGACTGTTTCTTTTTATTTGATCCTATTTCATTCGGTAGCGTTCCTGCCTCTCTGTCCAGTCCAATTACACGGCAGTTAAAGGGATCTTTATGGAAAGATAAACATAATCTTTAGTTTGGCTGCTGGGTTCCGAAGCTTTACTTACTCTACATGATTCGAGTCAGAAACAGAAGATATAGGTCTTTATAGGAGCCGAGAGTCCTACAGTAGGCTGGGGTCCCTGTGGCCTCCCATTCATCCCTCTCCCCCTGAGAGGAGCACAGAGAGAGGTCATCACCCTCTCCCCAAACAGGAAGCCCCATCAAAAGAGGATCATGTTTCTGCACAAGCCAGTGAAGGAGAGGGCAGACAAGCAGACCAGGACCTGAGCATCACCGATGACTAAACGCTACACGCGCGCACACGCGTGCAGCAAAGCGTTATTACGTCTGCAAACACACTACTGTGCTTTAAACAGACAGTATGCTGAGATTCATATGAGACAGGCACACATTGACGCTGTCTGAGGAGGAGGCTAAGCTAGTAGAGACTGCTAGCACAGAGTCTCCTGACCTTTGACCCAAGCCTGGAGGGCGAGACACCGCTGACCACTGCAGTCGCCACCTCAGGATCAGGTGAGGGGCAGGCAGCCTCGCTCAGTCTCAGTCAAACGGAGCCAGTAAACCAAAGTGTGATTCAGTGTTGGCCTCTGGTCAGACACAGCTCACTATGTGGATGGAAGGGATCTGTGTTAGCGTTATAATCAAGATCACTTGCTTTCTTTAGGCTGGTTTATAATAGCCAGGCATAAATATTTATTCCTGGCGGCTGGAGAGGATAAAAAAAAAAAACGGTGCAAGTCAGAGGTGGAGCTCACCAAACATCCAGAATCCGACGCTCGCCCTGTGATGCCAATACCCCCGAGGACTACTGTGCCAGACTGTGCTGCAGCAGAGATCAAATATACGAGGGCCCTTGTGTTGCATTTATTGTCTTCAGGTCTTCCATTTTTCCTAATAAATGAGTGACAGCTTGAGGTGGGTCTGGGTACTTTAGTAGACTCTTTGTATTTTTCCCCCGGGTCAGAGAGGAGAGCGCTTTAACAGCGATCTAAAAAACGTAGGGGAGAGCTGCGGAGCATATCTAATTGCTTTCATATGCCGTATTATTGGTTGATTTAAATAACCACAGACACCAGGGGCACTGGGGGGCACCGCCTTTAACCTCCGCATGGCCCTGGCCAAGACTGGCTGGCTGGGTTACTGAGTGGCTCGGCGCCCACGACACTTTGAGCACAGAACATCAAAATCGGGTTCACTTATTTATCCGCCGATTGTGACTCTTATGCTTCGTCAATGAGCTGGTATTTGCTTTTTGGATTTTTACTCCTGCTTCTAAAAGGGACAGCAAAAAATAAATGTAGAGGATTGTTTGGCTAGGTGCTCTGTCACCGGTCCTGAAAAGGGAGAGGTCGAGGTGTTATGATGACACGGCTGTTAGGAGATACAACGTCTGGTAACAGGGGGAAGCCGCCTCAGGCCATCCAAGATCCTGAATACACCACCAAACCTCTCCGCACAGGGCAGGGAGAGTGCATAGGATTTACATACAAACTGCACAGGTGAAAGATGGTACTGTATACAATTACACTGATTGATTTACAATGAATCAAATGTGACCAAGGCACTAAAATGCAATGCGGCGAGCGGTTTAAGCCTCGGCATCCACAGTGAAAATGAATGTACTTCATTCTACAGGACATGTCCTACCAGTCAGATCCTTCTTCAGCTTCCTGATGTCCTTAGTGAGGTCTTCAAACTTGACCTGAGCAGCCTGGAAGAAATCCTGAGGCTCCGGCATAGGGAACACACTCTTTTCTGTGCCGGCATGCTGGAACAGTGGATCACATATGAAAGTAGGATGAGTGATGAGTGTTTTAAGAGTGTAAAACTGTTGATTGACGGTGCCTTACCATGTCAAAATTACGCAGGTAGTATATAGCCACAAAATCCACCAGGTTCATAGAATTGTCCTGAGGATTAAATGACAATCATACTTTACATATATTATCAACATATTGATACATCATTGCGATTTGATTATAAGAGTCTATTTAGCTAAGATTTATTGGGGAATTATGGCAGATTTTTAGGGTAAATTGTAAGAAATGTTTAACCCTGCTTTTGACGTCCTTTAGTTTGGGGAGGATCTCCAGTCCGAAGCCATCAGCCTGACCTCTTGTCCTGTTCCCACCGTTCATATAGTTCCCAAAGGCCAGAACAAGGCCCATTACCTCCCGCAAGCTATCACACTCCAACAGCTCCTGACAGAGACACACACACACACACACGCAGCCTTTGGGTTTGTAAACCTTCACACAGCTTAATGACATTTTTCTGAAGCACTCTTTACGGACGAGATGTTCTTACTTTGCTGACATGCGAGATGATCTCCACCTTACGACGGACGGAGGAGATGGTATCGAGGAATACTGACTGGAAAATGATGCACTGGGCTCGGTTCGCGAAGTCGGGAATCTGGGAGAGCTCATAGAGAAACCTGGAAAACAAAAAGGGCAGGAGGAGGTGGCGGAAGAGAATGGGGTGTGATGTGTTATGACAGAATTAAACAAAGTGTCTAACAAGAAGAACTATTTTGGTTCCTTGGCAGGCTTTGCTTCCCCATGCAGGCCGTCTGAGTCAATGTTGCTGTTCAGAGGCGGCTGATAGTCATGAGCGGTGCTGCTCGGCTGGGTTTGAAAGGTCCGCGGGGTCGGGCGGAGGGAGAGCAACGAGCGGCTCACAGAGACTGATCAAAGGTAGCTCCGGCCTGATGTGGGACGACTTATGTAAACAGTGCCGTGTCAGAGGGGAGGGGAGCGGTAACATCCTGAGTGATTAGGCCCTGCTGACGGAGGTAGACACTGAGTAGGGATGACTCGGGCAGCCGTAGTGACAGCTCTGGTCAAACATGGAAATAGGAAGCAAAGGCTGAGCGGCACCGCTGGGTCCAGGCCTCGTTAACTGGCCCGGACTACTTAAACCTGACAGAAACTACTGAAGCAATGTTCATTAATGCATAGGTTTTCACACACTTGGAAGGAGGCTTGGAGACACTTTATAAAGACTTAATAAAGAGGGAGTAGACAAAGTATGCTCCAATGTGTAGAAATTACCTATAAGTACAAAATAAACCTGACAAATAAAATAAAAAATATTAAAACTGTTTTGGTCTATCAAAAAAAATTATTATAATAATAATTAATACTGGAATCATTTGAAGTTTATTTTAATGTTTTGATGAGCCCTAAGAAATCTCAGAAACCCATGTATATTAATTCAATTCAGCTAAATTACTGAGTGAAATAGAAGGCAAATAAATACTGATAGCACTAAACCCAATACCTGAACTCACATTCATGTATCTGATCAATACTGCCAAGTTTGCAATTACTTATGAAAGTATAACTTTCTTTGGAAAGTATTTCATATTTGTGATCTTACTGCTCAGGTTTGTCCAGCAGTTTGACTTCCTCCTCTTTAGAATCCTCATAATGTTTCGTTATCCTGGCGATTTCGTCACTGGTGGCCCTCTGTGAAGAATCACAACACAAAGTCCAAAATCAATATGTATGACTATCAACACAGCTAAATACTTTCACAAAGAGAAGGACATCCAGTAGAAATCTGAATAGGTGTTGCAATTGTTGCAGTGCAAGAAGTTACACGATAATAAAAAACACTTGGACTGATAAGACGCATACCATGACGAAACCAATTTGTAGCAATAAAAATACGGGTTTCTCTATTTTCTTTAAAGCTGCCATTTCTTTTTATTACCTTAGACAGAGTGCTCCTTCATACTTACATTTTCATATAACGCCTCAATGGTCTCCAAGTCCACCACAGAGTTGTCCACAGTAAGAACAGCTGGAACAGTAAATATATTCATTAGAAGCAGTCAGTGTAATAAATGGATAAGAACTTGGCCAAAGCATGCTGCCTTTTAAGTGCTGCCAGTGCTAGAAGAACAAACTCGTCTGTCCGACTAGGGACGTAAACTCACGATAGCCCGGAAATTTTGTTAAACTTCGGTTAATAAAACATCATATTTGTGGCTATGACTATTTGTAAGATATACTATGGATTTTATGAGACTGAAAACAGAAAAAGAGAGCAACATCTGACTAAAACCAGCGTGCCAGTTGTGTCTACTCGCTCTCACTACTACACAACACTTGCACCAACAACCACAACACATCATTCAATTACCATGGAGTTGAATTATACACCTAATTTCAAATATTAGCTTGAGGTTGTGAAAGCTGCCAGTGTGGCCAGGCTGGGTCTGAGACCGCGGATGCTGAGCTGGCTCAAAACAGAAAGCCTGAAAGTGTTTAACGTCTGGGCCCACAGTGAGAACCACCACAGCTGACTGTCATGCTTTTTAGAGTCAGACAGGAGAAGGGGAGCCCTGTGAGAAACAGAGGATGGCGGAGGAGGCAAACAGGAAGAGAGAGAGAGAGAGAGAGAGAGAGAGAGAGAGAGAGAGAGAAAAGGCTGGCAGAGATCATAATTTAGACACGATCGGACTGAGAAATGATCCGAGTTTCTTGACCTGCTTCTCTTACAGGCTGCATGTTTGTCGAGCTTGACTCAGTAATAATGAAAGTGCACAGGGAAGTCTGAACACAGAGGACAGCAAAAAAAAAAAAAAAAAAGGGAGAGTGACTCCTGCTCAGTGTCTGAGTCACAGGTTTATGGCTCAGTGAGGGAGGAGGGGATGAGGACACAATGGGAGGGATGGCTCCAGTGCTGCTGGATCAGCTGGCAGTTGTCTGGTTGGTGTCAGCTGAGGGGGGCTGAACACCACATACTGCTCTCAAATCAGTCACTTCAATGCGACAATGCTTGACTGTCCCCGCGACCAAGAACTGACGCAGCAACAGCTACACAGTAAATGTATTCAGTGCTATAGAGGCTCGGTATCAGACCTCCTTACTTTCTTATTAGAGATCATATTGTTATCCAAATGTGTCCAAAACTAATGACTGGCAAGAAATACTTAAAGGGAAACCAAAGTGTAACTTTTGAAGAAAACAACACTGTTACAGCATGGCTTTAAATGGTACAATATAGTGTAACAGGAGCTAAAGTAGAGAAAAGCCACAAACTGACTTCGGTAATGCCATGTCGAAAAACTAGCTCCAGTTTGCTAACTTAGCTAGTATTACATTAACTTCTCAATGCAAACATTAGAACACCGTCAACTCACTTTTGCTGAATAACAGCTACTGTGGCCACAAATGACACTTATTCGATGACAGTAAATGGTTAATGCACAATGTCAGTTACAATGCAAAATAAAGCTGAAGTTCGTTAACATTGGCTAACATTTCATTAGCTTCCTAACATGTAAACATGAAAGCAAAACTGGGTAACGTTCTGGCTAACAGCCACTGTGACCACAAGTGACAAATACGCAATGGTGGTAAAAGGTCAAATGTAGTAACGCAGTGTCAGTTACACAGCAGCAAAAGTTTGGGAAAATTAGCTGACATAATATACATGTCCTTGCAGACCAAGTAAGACCATATACAGTAAAAACCTGAGTGTATTGAAAGGAGAGGATGTCATTTACTGCTAAACATTTCATTTGTAAGAGGAAATGCATGTTTTTAGTATAGCCTTGTTTTAATAATTATCTTGTTTTATTAATTTAAATTATGATTAAAATCATGATTGTATTAAATCTGTAGACTACTGACCAAATGCATTTATGTATGATGCTTTAATCACAAGCCATTTGAGTTTTGGATAAAAAAAAAAGTTTCAAGTAGTTAATCATGTTTTAGGCGTGTAAAGAAAGTGCAGTTTTGCCATCAGTGGTTTCCGGCTAACAAGGTAATGTTAGGTGCATTCTGGTTCCCAGCTGTTCCTGTTGCAAAGAAGTTGTCAATGTGGTCCCAATGTCTGGATCAGAGAGAACGCTGGAGGTCCGTTTCCTACATCTTATTAGAGTGGATTATTCAGTCCCTCAGCCATGCAGCCGTCAATCACACACCAAAGGGGGGTCTGCTCCAGTGTGCACAGGGAGCCGGATATCTCTCCACACCGACAGATCAAAGCCTGCCTGCCAACCGCCTCACACCCTCTCCTTCCACTTTTCACTCATCGGCTTTGGTGTGGAAGGGCATGTGTGGTGTGTGAACATGTGTATGTGTGTGTGTGGTGAGGTGGTGTGTGGGGGAGAGCCTCCCCTTGCTCTTGAACCATGGTGGCCCTTAAGGTCCCCCAGTCAGGCGGGTGCAATTCACCCCCTTTCTCCCTCCACCATAGTGCTACTTTCTCCCCCCTTTCCTCCTTCCCTCCCTCCCTAGTAGCTCTAATTACATTACATGTCCCATGTCCTTTTAATTTGGCAACAAAGGGGAGGCAAGCAGGCGAGGCCAGGGACTCGAGCCCTTAGAAGTACTTATTAAGGTGCTGTCCTTCATTGTCAGATTCAAATTGTCCATTTCACATACAACCCCCCATTAAGGCACAAGGAAGCAGCCTCACGCTGGGTGTTTTACCAAACCACCTCTACAAGCGGACACTGGAACAGAGAGAAAAAAAAAAAAATCGAACAACTAAATGGGCGTCCTGGTGCTATGTGCTGTTTGGCTTGTGTTCGAGGTGGTTTTATGTGGTAGCGCAGTGTCTGCTAACTGTGGAAGGTGGTTTTGTACATGCTTAGATCATTAGTGGGGTGTCAGTCCCATTAGGCTTGTGGAAACCGTCACTGGCTACAATAAACAGATCTGCTGGCCGCATGCTCAGACTAGCAGGCGGCAGGCTCTCTCCGCCACAGTCCCGGGACAGGACCAATTCCTGGCCCATCTACGCCGTCCCCAACACACATATTATGTGTTTACACACACACACACACACACCCTGCTTTTTCCGCAGAACAACCAAGCATGCAATCAATCTACGCAGCTCCTCAAATGAAGGAAATGGCTATTTGATTTTAACCAGTGCAGGAGGGATTTCAAGCAGCGCGACAGAAAGAAATAAAGGCTGCTTTTATCCGTGTTGCCGTCTCACATTTTGACAAATCGTGGTATTTTTCTTACCGATCCTGGTAATTTGAAAAAAACAAAAAACTCCACGTTCCACTCGAAACACAAATGAATCCAAAAAAAAAGTGTCTCTAGTTACAATTTAGCAGCTGTCAAGAGGTTGGAAATGATTCTCTGCTGCAGGGCTCGCTATCTCATCTCTTAAAAATAACCCCCATCTGCATTTCATCAGGAGTCATCCTCAATTTATAGTTACACGGAACTGTAAATTCACTTTATTGCTGTTGAATCTAAAAAGGAGCTCCGTTCTTGAGAGACATTAAAATATCAGTGTGCACAGGCAACTCGACATGTTCAACAGACTGTCATCAGAATTTTTTTCTTCACCTTGCTGAATGTCCTTCATCTCCAGATGCAGGCTGGATATGAGGATGGCGACCGCTTGTGAACGCTTCGAATCCAGCAGCTTGATAATCTGGGAAAAAAAAAAACAGAAAGCAAATGGATTCATATTATTCGAGCATTAGTGGGATTCAGGGTAAAACCCAGAGACTGCATTTCAGTTAATACGGCTTAAGCTGATTGCCATATCTTAAATTAATTATTTTATTTTAGGTTAACAGGATAGTGAGTCTATATTTAGAGGAGAACAACATCATTTATGTACATTAACACCACATTGTATGATGTTGGTTTCAAATTTCAAGTAATATTACTATCGATTACTTTCAAATCTAATATGGTGTCTTGTCTCTACTCCAAACTATCGCTCGGATTTCTTCACGCCAATGTTTATGACCAATGCTATTATTTAAAAACACAGGCATGAAACAAAGTGAGGAGCAGATGGTGAACAAAACGTTCGGTTCAGCGATGAGAGGCCGGGTGGAAATCACTTAGTCACTTCCCCCGGCTGTGGAAGCAGATGATAGATGATGAGCGAGACAGAGAGCCTGAAGCACCAGTTACTCTAAGCAACCTGGGAATCATCTGGGTTGACCCAAACGACCAGACTAATCAACACACGTTGTCATAACCCATCATCGTGATGCAAGCGACTGGGAAACGCGGAGCACGCATACATGGCCGGGACACACTTTGTCAAGTTACATCAATGAGGGAGCAAAGTCAAACAGAAAAGCGCCTCCTCCAGTTTACCGAAGAACATGTGTGAGATATAATCAAAAAATATCAAGTCGCAGTGAAAGTACAAAGGCAAAAGTGGCACCATAAAAGGACAGTCTAGAAGAGCAAGCTTTTATAACAAACTATAAATTCACAGGATTTTTATTTGTGCCTACACATGGTCACAATTACTTATGACTGAATTAGCCGTAAAGCCAGAGCGAGTTTTGGCAAGGTAAAGCCCTGCTCTAAAAGTTAATGTGTCAGGCTTCTTCATTAGGTATTATGGCGTTGTCGGCTACTGGGCTGTCCAGTGGGAGCTGGAGAGCAGAAGCCTTAGAAGTGGGTATTGCATTACAGGGCGTTAGTGGGTGCCATGCTGCTTCCAGCTCTATTACCTGGATCACTGGGGATCTCCCACTCTGGGGGCTTTCCCAACACCTCTAATTAACCACTTCGGACGGGCCACACTAAAAGCAGGCCAGGAGCCCTTCCCGCTCACTGTGGCTGCAGAACTCGCCAATTAGCCTAAACAGTTACGTTAATGGGAAAAGACAACTGATGCTGGATGCTTGGTATCGGACACAGCAAACGGCTCGGAGGAAGCAGAGGGAGCCGTGTGATGCTGATGCTGAGACAGGTAGACGCCAATAGTTAACGGCTCCCTCCTGTGGACAAAAGGGGAACTCTGAGGCTTTCGTTTGAAACTGCTGTGGACACTCGAATAACACAGATGGGTCAAAAGGAAAGAGGAGAAAGGAGAGAGAGAAAAAGCGAGCGGCCTAAGAAAATAAACCAAAAGATGGAGGGAGACACTGGGAGTGTCAGCAGCTTGAGCTGAAGCAGGTGGCAGGTGGCTAGTTAGGCGAGGTGGGCAGGGTGATGCTGGTTCAGAGCCGAGCGGATAGTTTACACAACCACGGCTGAGCAGCCAGCCTGCTCCGCACTGTGACCGTCTGTCTGGAATCACCACGGGCAGATGTTAAAATAACAACTGGATCAAGACTTCCCATCAATAACCACCTACGATACACTCAGCAACCCCAATCTCACCCAGCGGTGTTAATCTTACACCCACTCTCCCACGTCACAGCCAGAGCTTCAAATATGTCTTTAATAAACGCACCATGATTGCTCATAAGTCATCCCCATAAACCGGTTAAAGCTGCCGTTTGTTTAAGGAGATCCGCTATGTATATACTTGATATGGGTTTGACTGATGTGGGGAGAGGAAATTGCTGTTTTTGTGTTTACTGATGTGCATATTTGCTCGCATACGAACTCAACAGCACATTGAGCTCGATTGATTTCCTCATCTTCATCCACCTCTCCCTCCCCTTCTAATCCCTCAATCAAGAATGCGCCGACATGCTCATCCTCTCCCCCACCACCTCTCCTATAGGTGCCCTGTCTTCATCGCCTCCTCTCGCCAGTGGAGCGGAGCCACATGCCTGCAATTATACACCTGGTCCGGTCTGGTCTGCTCGGGTGGGAGAGCTCTCTTCCATGTCATCTCCTCCACTTTGATATGCTAATCAGCAGAGAGAGAAGGGCTCCAGAGTAAACAAGAGCTTTGATATTTTTTTTTTTTCTTCTATGGCACACATGATAAAGATTAACTTACTCATGTAGGCATCGGCTGCATCCCCCGAGTTTCAACTTCTGGCGTGTGGACTTGTTGGAAAGCGGGGAAGTGGCTCATATGCATAATGTACACACACATTCCATTCCCGCCCACTCATCTCCTCTCGCCGCACACAGCCCCGGGCTGTGGTGTTAGCATGATCTGGCAACACTTTCTGGGCAAGTGCATAATGACTCGTGAGGACGTGCCGTCATCACACACACAGACACACACACACGTGCGTTTCAGCACACGGACACACGCACATCGAAACGTACACATGACGGCGCATACACAAACACACATAGAAACAAACAAACATGGTAATTGAAACACACTTTCTCTCTCACAGATTCAGTGGCAACATTATCACTGAATTCTGTGCTTAGGCGGCAGGTAGTCTGCATGAGTGTCCACTGGTATCAGTAGTCCTGCAGGGGGACAGAGACAGTCTGGCAGCCTTGAACTCTAGCCTTGGCAGGTATCCCTCAAACTTATGAGACTCACACTAAGAACACTCGACACTAGATATTAACGAGAGCCAATGACTGACTGTCGGTTGATTTATCTTTTCAAAGTATTTTATTTAAGGAAAATGGGAAAAAGAAAGTGACTATTCTCTATTTGTCTTAGTATCCTATGATAGGGAATTGAATAACTTTGGTTTTTGGATCGTTGGTAAGAAAAGCTATATGTTTCAAGATGTCACCAAGGGCCCTGCCACTTGTGATGGGCATAAAATAGGGATAAAATGCTAGGAAAATTGCTTTAATTGCAAAAAGAAAAGAAAAGTCATCCAATTTGTCTCTTTAACTCAGTAGCACCTCGTCTCCAACACTGTTCTCATCCCAGTTCCTCTCTCTTTCCCACCCGTTAACCAGCTGAACTTCTTGGAAGCCGTTATCAGCTGATGATTCAGAGGATTTTTCTCTCAAATGAGTATAAACTTTCAAGGATGAAAAAAAAATGATGAAGTAAACAACTTTTATTGTGAAGACCTTTCCAGCGAGTTGGACTCACAAGCTGGCTGAAAACAACCAAGCCTTTCACTTATTCACTTCCCCTCTTTAAATCGTAGAGTTGGACTCTGAATGCTCTCGCTGGCTCTTAGCACGGACCTTTATATTAAATATCTGACTTCTGTCTCATCACAGTGCTGGGGACGAAATGTCTAAACATAGATATCAGCCACAGGCAGTGTACAATATCTAAAGCAGATTATATGGGTCCTTCTCTCAAATAATAATAACACCAAATCTTATGTTGGACATGGAGTTTTTTGGATTGATATGAATTTGTCCCAACAGCGTTTTCATTAGTGGGGGTCAAAAGGCTGATGTAAGCCCAGACAGGAGACAGTTTTGTGTCTGGATCCGAGTTGGATCAAATGTTGGACAGTTCGCCGCTTTACAGTGACCAGACTGAGTGGAGAGATCTAAGGATGGAGATCAAGGACAGAGGAACACACACACACACACACACACACACACACACACACACACACACACAGGCCCTCTGGAGCAGAGTGGAGCCTTAAGAAATTGATCAGAATAGGGGATGTGTATGGATTTAGAGGGGACAGTCTGGGGCATTGGCCGTTTTTTAACTCCTCGGACGCCACAGTGAGGACCACGAGTCAGCCAGGATGCTGACACGGCGCTGGCTGCAGCAGAGTTGCAGAGTTGCAGCATTTGACAAGACGTCAACAAGTGTGTCTTTGGTGGGTTGGGGGACGGTAGATCAATCTGGCACAAAAGCACACCTTTGCTGACTTTTCTCGACTGGTTTAATCTATAAAAAAAAAACAACTAAACTTTGAGGCTTGCACAGATGGAAAAGATCAAAAGATCTGGCAACTGTAGGCAACAGTCTGGAGTCACAATCCATTTCTTCCTGGATCATCTTTTATTTCTCTCTTTAATTTAAGATTGAACATGACGGCATACAAAAAGTATTTCTTCAACACAGCTTGATAAGAAAGCACGCTAAGCTAACGCAGCCCTCAGGAGGCTGCATCAAGAGACAAAGTGCACAAACTATCCATCACATGCACAAAACAAAACAAAAAACGATTCATTGTGTTTTCCACACAATCAACGTCAAGGAAAAACTAGGACGTAACCCAAACTGAGGAGGAGTGTGTGGAGCAACTGACTCACCTTCTTAGTTTTGGCTTTCTTCTCGAAGGTGTCGGACAGGGGCTTCTTCTTCGTCTGCAGCGTGGCCTTGGAGAAAAGATCCTCAAACTCATTGGCGTTGACAATGTTTGGTTCCTCCAGAGAACCCCAGAGTGTGTTGTTGCTGCAAAACGAAGTGAAGTTTGAGTTTGTGATTTATGTCAATGCTGTTTCAATCTATGCATCTAAACTGAAACTCAGACTCACGACGACAGCGGCTCAGCTAAACAAATTGTGTGCTCTATTTGTGGAAGCGTATTTGATGTTTATTCAAGCTGCTCCACTGCTTTTCATTTTCCATTTCGCTGTCTGACAAAAACTTGGCAGAAAGAGAATCTCAACTTTAAAAAGCACTGTTTATGAGGGAGGTGATAAAAACAACAAAAGTTTAAGACAAGCTTGTTTCTGTAATAAAGGATCATTTCCAGCAAACGGACGAGAATACGGGAGGCGATGTTGTGTTTCAGAAGTTGCCGAGTAACATGGAATAAACAAATGGAGGCAGAATAAGGACAAGAAGTGTTTAAAGTCAAGAGGATGTTCAGGATTCAAGCACTCTGTTGCTGTTATCGTCACATCTGTCTATGCTTTCCTTCCTTCAGTAAAATAATAAAACGCACATCAAGAAACAGTAACAACTAAAGGTATGACGACACCTATAATAAGCTGCACATGCCTAACTACTCGTTTCCTATTATCTTATTATCACACGTCGCAGGTCGTTGTTTATCGACGTTACATCTCATCTGTGAGCTCATGAGACTGGCAGGTCAATCTCCCCAGAGAGAGAGAGAGAATCTGGACACAGCACACTAACACAAGCGCTGGCAGGCTTATCGTGGCCTAGATATCCGAACAATCAACCGCATTGCCAGCGACTCAGTTAGGGTCGAGTAAGTCCAATTGTTTCTGCGTGCAGTTGGTGAGTTTTCATCTGGGGCAGCCAAGAGGTTTTCATGTTGAAGACGTAATGATACTGTCCCGAAATCCGATCTTTAATTTTGCACTCCTGTCTGAGAGACTGTCTAATGAAGAGCCTCCGATTCTGTGCAGGAAACTAGCGTGGAAAAGAAAATTACATCTAAACCCAGAGAAATATTTCCATGCAAGACAACTTTCTAACTGACCAGATTAGGACAATAATTGAGCTTGAATCCCCCCAAAAGCTATGTTCCCTTTTCTTTCTTTTTTTTTTTTTTACTGCAGCTCCACGAGAAAGTTTGTCCTGCGTCCTGCTCACCGTACTTTGTGTTTCGGCTCACATTCAGACACCTGGCATCATTTCAAACCTTACACTGTCCCCCCCTCATAACTCAGAACCTCACACCGTTAACAGAGATCACACAGCTGATCCAGCTATAGTTACAAATCTGACCCATTTAATGCCCCTTAACTTGGCCCTTTACAGTTAAATTTATAGCCGACTTGAAACTGCTGCAGTGTAGTAAGTCCGTCCTCCAACGCTGGCCAGGACCAGAGAGCGAGAGCGAGAGAGAGAGCGCGAACCACCTCAGTTTCTCCCACTAAGCCAGCCATGGAAATACAAGGCCATAAAGCTGGGAGCCTGGCACTCAGGCAACGACCACAGCAACTGTAAATGGGCTGGATAATCCACTTACAATTACAGAGTATCTCAATAGGGCCAGTAGACGAGAGAGTGTGCACCAACCATATCTTTAATATCTCTTTGAAGAGGTGCATTCAGGGCCAAACTAAGACCCCGTTAGACAAGGGCCGATGATGCCTAGAGCTTCATTAGCTCGGGGATAACACTTTTTAAACCTCACTTTGATGACATTCTGCAGTAATCCACCAAACAATCAGTGAGGAAAATCCAGTTATTCTACCAATCATTACAGTAATAAATAATAAATACAAACAGGAGCTGAGGTAATGCTTGGCCTGGACTTTCTGTAGCCTTCGGTTTGAATTAGTTCCGGGAAAAGAAATGCAAGTGGGACAAACCATTCTGTGATTTTTGTGAGCTACTAACGATTTAATCACTGCTACTTAAAGGATAATTAGTAGAATCTCAGTCTTATTTTTGTAGTTCTGGCCCTTATTTTTATATCTAATTAATTGTTGGTAAAAAAAACGTGTGCACACAATTATGGTAAGTACGGTAGGTCAAAGTTGAACCAGGAAGTCAGTCTCTAAACTGAGAGAGACGGTTACAACGGACAGTTTGGAGAATAATTCTACCATTTTCCTTTGATTTCTTATTAACTCCGAGTATAACGTTGTTATTACAAACTGGCCGAAACACTGAAAATATGACCCAATCTGTAATCCAACACACTTATCCTTTAAGAGCAGTATGAGGGAATTTAAACAATGGTCCACATACTTGTTGTCCTCTATCTGTATCCTGGTCCAGTACAGAGGCTTCATGGGACAGGCTGGCTCAACGGCAACTTTCCGTGGGGCCTTTTCCACCTTCTGGAAGAAACCGAAGCCCCCCATAGGGGGAGGAGGTGGCAGGCCTCCGCCTGGAGGAGGGGGAGGAGGAGGACCAGCTCCAGGTAGGCCAGGAGGAGGAGGGGGAGGTGGTGGGGGTGGCGGACCACCTCCAGGGAGTGGAGGTGGTGGAGGGGGTGGTGGCGGGGCTCCAGTGGTGCCTGGCAAAGGGGGAGGAGGAGGTGGTGGTGGTGGTCCTACGAGGCCTGGTGGCAAAGGGGGAGGAGGTGGAGGTGGTGGTCCTAAGAGGCCTGGTGGCAGAGGGGGAGGAGGTGGAGGTGGTGGTCCTAAGAGGCCTGGTGGCAGAGGGGGAGGAGGTGGCGGGGGTGGGGGTGGTCCAGAAGAGCCTGGGGCCGTTTCAGCTCTTAGATTTAGTCCGATGGAGTCCAAGTTGAGTTTTTTGGGCACGTTCCGGTTGGGGCTTTGAGCAAGCCCGCCGCCGTCCCCCGCCGGGCTCTTGATGAAGGTCTCCCTGTCCGTCTGGATACTCACGGTGCGGAAGGTCTTGGGTATCAGGTCGTCTGTGGACACAGCAGCGTCGCGAAGCTCGCCCCGCTCCTGACCTGTATTATAGCCCTTGTCTCTTTGCATCTTAGCAATGACTCCTTGCAGTTGCGATATCAAGACAGCATGCTCACCTCGCAGTTCGAAGATTTGCACCTCATACTCGGACTGTTAGGAACAAGAGCAGAAAGCCAGAGACAAAACCAATGCAGAGTATCAGAATCTTCAGTCACTTTCCATCAAATAATGTAGTAAGACCATATGTTTCCTCAAATGAACTTGGATGAGAGTGTTTGATTATTCATCCAAAGGCCTACATCAACGTGACTCTTGGTTAAAAAATTACTTTTTTCAGCTTTTGTTTTCAACTTAATTCGCATTAAGTTTTTTCCCCAATCGGAGGTCAATATGCGGTCTGATCTCGTCCAGTTTTCATGTGACATGTCAAACAATGAAAAAGATGCCCACCAAAGCGAAGTATTGATTTGATACAGAAAGTAAATTGTTTTGCATTAAATCTTGCACATGTTCCTTATTAACGTGCGTCAGTTTAGAAATAGCATTAGGCACGTTCCCACTCTCTCTCGCGGGCCGACTGCGGTGCATGTTTCTCAGTGTCAGCATCAGCCCTTTAAAAAAGGTCCACGTCAAATTAAAGGCTTTAAGCAGACAAGGCTGAGGAACCAATTCTGAGGTCAGACGTTTTCAAAGAAACAGCCCATAAAGCAATTCATCAGTGGTACAAATGATGTAATACGACCACAGCTATGTTCTTTTGGTTTTCTAAGGGTATCCAATAAGATTGACTCTTGATTAAGTTGACGGACGAAAGAAAAACACCTGTGAAACACTGTTCCTGACCTTCGCTTTTGATGAATGACACAGATGCATTTGGATTTGGAATATTGGAGACAAAGGAGATGATAAGATCTCTGAATGTGTGTTTGGAAGACATTTGGAAGTAACAATTATACATCATTTTTGTCTGTTTTAGATTTTTTTAATTGACAGTGCAGTTTTAAGTCAAAGCGTTTTATAAGATGTTGCCTCTATTTATATAATTTATGTCACTTCAATAATTAACTTTATTTTCACTTTTTGTAGAAAACTGCTGAAGGTCCCATTAAAAGTCACATATAAGGGACATTCAGTGATTCAAAGGTTTTATATTTTCAATAGTTTACTCCCTTCTTATGGTAATATTATTTTTCTCTGAGCCTCATCTGAGTACTGGATTACATATACAATATTTTGAAGGCACACTATATTTAACAGTTTAAGAGTCCGATTTTATTTATTTCCAATTGAACCTATTTACACAGTTTTTTGGTAACAATATTGCTTTAAAACTTGAAAAATATATAATTTAATGGACAGGTTGACAAACATTTTACATTCAAAAATCTTCAACACAACACTGGGCAACTTCAAAATCTCTGAAATGTTAAAGCTTCTACTGCTGCAAGTAAATGTTCAGCACCAGTCCAGCTGCTGCACTTGAACATTTCATGCTTGCTTAGTGCCATCTTGTGTTCAGTAGACTTAGCTGCCATGTCAGGCTAGATATTACAACGTATTAAGTGCCTTATAAATGCAACTAAAAGTGCTGTTCATGTATGTCTCCCACACATGCATTATCATTACAAATGCTACATGTTAGTTTGTTTCTGTTTAACATTTGTAAGGACTTCCTTACGTAACTTCTGCCCTCACAGAGACGCCCGGGCTTGTTTTCTCCAGTGTGTAATATGTATTCAGTCAGTGTGTTCATAAAATGTCTGCTAAATAACTTGATAACTTACATGCATCCTCTCCAGATCTTCCTTGCACTCTCTCTTCAGCTGCAAGAGCGCAGCCTGGTGCTCTGAAAGGATGCAGAACAAGGACACAAACTCATTCTGCTGGCAGTTTAAATTTATTAAATATATACTGGAGTGTAAATCACAGCTCATTGTTGTTTTCTTAACTATTCATAGATTGAGAAAACCAGGTTTGAGATTTATGTTTTCTTGAGCTACTGGCTAAAAGATTGTTACAGTAAACCATTATCAAGCTGATCTGCAAGACAAGAGACGTACAACAACATGTACTGCTGGTTATTGGTAAGATTCTACAGAAGGGTGGGTCACTTTCAATCTGAAGTGCCATATCTGCAACTCAACCAACCGGTTTTAAATGACACTGCTGGCACAAATGAAAGTCCAAACAAAACATTTTGTCAGGGCAAAACACGTGAAAAAATGCAGATCTGTTGGTTCTAATAAAAGGATGGCATGGAGGTGAAAAGATCACCCACAACATAATTCTCCTAATGTTTTCTACTGCGAAGTTGGTGATGAAGTGCAATATCATACCTTATCCCATCTCGTGTGACTTGGTATCATGAACTACCAAGTTGCACGGTGTACACCACAATGTCTCGTCTTTATTAAAATGACTGTGGGGCTCATTGTTACACTTCTAAGTCTTTATTCCGATTTATAGTGAAGAATAAAATTCACCAGCATAGACTAACTAGTAACAATGATTATTCTGAGTCAATGATTATAATCCGTCTGATCATGAAAATCAAGTAAATATACTGACTCCACTTAATAGTCAATTAGTTGCGCAATTTAATCAGCACTGTAATCTAAGGCCCTACGTGTGTGGTGAATACCAGACAAGTGTCTTAAAGAAATGCCGATGATGTGAATGTGTTGGTGTGGTCTATATGGCTCACACTGGACTTTTGCTGTGCTTCTGAACTTCCACACACTATTCTCTAATACAAGAGCAAAGCTCGATCGTAGAGCACCAATCAACAAAATAATCCCGGGTTGCTAGTCTTAATCTATTCTCTGGGATGAAGCTTCACAGAACACCCAACAGCTGTTTTCACTGCTGCAGCTCCGCACTACCCTCTTTGAGTTACACGATTTCACTGTTCCCGGGAACATGAAAGAAAAGCTTTTTACTTTGTAATGTAATCAACCCCTCGACAGCCGTGCGCCTGTGTGTCATTACACCTTTAGAGTGCAAGAGGGGCCAAACATGGCATGCTGCCCAGAGTATACTCGATTAAATGTTATTTTTACTTGCAACACGGCAATGCCGTGGTGCAACAAAACAACAACCACACAAACAGCAGACTTAAGGAGTAGACACAGCCTCACTGTATTTAAAGGATGTGTTACACCCTGCTGCCGATACTTAGCTAGCTCTACACGACTTGTATGACTTGTTGAGTAAAGTGGGAGTGCTCGAAGGTGTGACTATTGTTTCACTGTGAAGAGATCCATTCAAAAATACTATTCTGTACATACTCTATCCGCAATGGCCCTTATCCACAAAGCCAAGCATCGTGAGGTTTGTCAGTGTAAGTTCGTGATCCTCTGTCAGTGTCCCTGGGCTTTAGGTGGAAAGACAGACAACAGTGTCTATAGAAGCTTGAGGTTCTTACCTGCCTCGGTGTATTTCAGCCCCACCTTCTCTTCCTCATCTTTGGTTTTGGGTGGGGGCCACACAGACTGAAGACGCCCCGGGGTCCGGTCCTCACTGTCGGTAGGAGACATGAGCTCCGTCTGTGGGGAGAAAATACATGCATCAGCGTGGACACTGGCAATGCAATGATACAGCAACAATTTGCCTCATCATTTTCTTATCATCTATGTACAAACCAAGTGTGCAAATTAAATTTCCAATAACGAACAAAATATGAAAAATAATTGTGATGTTCATACATTAGCTTCTGCGGCACTGTTAAGCTCCTTTCCAGGGGATTTGGAGGCTCTCTCAAAAATAGACCTCAGACATTCCTTGTCACTCTTGATTTTCTTTTTCACTGCGTCCACATCCACGTCTTCTGTTTTTTCCTTTTTGACAGTTTTGGGGCCAAATAAGCTCCTGAAGGTTTCGTAGGCCAGGTCTGAAGTTTTCTTCCTCTCCTTTGAGGATGTGGAGGTTTCTGGTCCAGAAAAAACCTCTTCTCCAGTCTCAGACTCTTTTCTGCTGTGTTCAGGATCCCCATCATGCCCGACGTCTGACGTTTTGGTCTCATCGTGGTTGTCTAGGTTGAGCAGCTGACTGAGATGGCCCATCGCAGTGCTTTTAGTTTCCGCGACAGGTTTAGGCTCCGCCTGTTTTTTGGTCGGAGAGGTGGCCATCTTCTGCTTGGGGATGAGCTTGGCTTTGTTTACCGTCCTTTTAAGGCTGAGCAGGGCCAAGTCGGCATCCTTCTCCCTCTGCTTGATCTCTGACATAGTCTCCCTGTCTTCCCCCAACGCTCCTTTCTTCAGCACCCGCAGCCCACTGAAGAGAGCCGGCATCTGAAAGGAAGGGGGGGAAGAGAGCGAAGTGCCCCTGGATGGGGATGAGGTGGACGAGGGTGCAGTGGATGAAGCTGCACGTGGTGTTACTGGTGTCTTTGGAGCAGTTGTATGCTGTGAGGGAGAACCGTTACTGGGCTGGATGTCTCCTGGAGACTCTTCATTAGCAGATGACGGCGGCATGGGGTTATTAATCCCTGTTGGGTGATTTGTGATACCAGCAGAGTCCGACTGCTCCACTGGAATGGAGAATGATTGGACTGAAACTTCAGGAGTCTTCGGGCTGGAGGGAACAGAGGAGGACACCTGGCTGGAGGGAACAGAGGAAGACACCTGGCTGGAGGGAGGTTCCTCAGCCCCCTTCTCAGCTTCATGCGTCTCCTCCCTCTGCGTATTATCTAAATCCTCCTTTAGAGGAGAGGCTGTGGTAGCATTATGACCTGAGGCCTCCAAATCCAGATGTCTGGAGATAATGGAAGGAACGGGCAGAGAACAATCTATGCCAGCCAACTCTTTGCCTTCATCTGTCCCTACATTGTCTTTACTATTCTCTCCATCACCAGATGTTTCTACATCCAAAGACGCTGTGACGGTGCTCTCCTTGGGACTGCGGCCATTTGCCTGTTTGGAAACTAAAGAGTCCAGGGGTGTCCTAGAGTTAGATCTGCTGACGAACTTGTTCGAATATAGAATAGCTTCTATGCGGGATCTCTCCGTAAGTCTGTGTGTTCTGAACACAGGCATTTGGTACTCGACCTCAGTGGCTTCTTCCATCTCATCGCCATCACCATGCTCCACTGTATTATTATCCTCCTCAGGTAGGGTGGGCTTTGACAGATTAGTGCTGCTGTGGGCCGCCTCCTCGACCTCATTTTCCTCATTGTCCATGTATGTTTCCACCCGAGTGACCTGTACCAGCTCTAGATCAACTGCTGTTTTAACTTGGTCGCCAGACTCCTTGCCGGTTTCCAATGATTCAGCGCTCTGCCCTGTATCACAGGAAGCAGTCACATTATCCTGACGCATACCTTCCCTCCCTTGGAGATCGTTCTCGCCATTAGCAGTTTGACCGCCTTCAGGTAGAAGATTCTCTTCATCCGACAGCTCCTTGAAAGACGTCAGCACGGCCGACTCGGCGTCTGAAGAGGCATGTCTGGTTCGGCTGAGCATACTGCTGAAGACATTCAGGTAAGAACTGGCGGGCTGCTTCCCCGGTCCATCCGAGTTATTACTCAAACTGTCCATTTTTGCTCAAAGCTCCACACGAACTGAGAGTAAAGCGAGAAAAAACAAAACGGGTAGCAGCAAAGTGTCAGTTCAAAGTGTAGCAAAAGGCCCCCACCTCCAGTTATCCAAGTTGCTACTATTCCACTCCCGCTGGCTGGGACAAAAGGCCTTTGTATGGACAAATCTCTCCAGCTCTTCTTACCACTATTCCTGTATTCCTGTTTTGTGAAAAGCAAACAGGTCCCACGTAGTAGACTTTCATAATATCACAGTGAGTCTACTACTGACTGTATGTTGTCAGCAGTAATGTTCACCCTCCTCTGTGCCAATAAGGTTCCCATGACGCTGCAAGTGAAGTCAAGCTGTTCAGTGGCTGGAAGCATGTCCTGCTGTAATCTTCCTGGCAGAGTATAGTTCACCTGCCTTTCACAAAAGCATTCCAGACTCTTCCGACAAGTTGAGTCGTAGTATCCATAAAGTTGTGGGTGATCCTTCTCTATGTGCCGGTATACACACTGGAGTCCATGTACTTGTAGTTGATCTCTGTCTCCTTTACCTTGTTTCTCACTTTACATTAAAGCCCTGTGGTGCTGTCGTGTGAGAAAAAAAGAAAACTCCACAGGTTGGGATAAAGAACGTGTCTCACTGGTCTACCCAGTCTAGGGGACGCCCTTTCCCTTCTGGTTCCTCCCTTCCTGGGAGGGGACCTGCAGAGCCTGGCAGTGCAGGTGTCTGATTACCCCTGCTCACTTCCTTATAATGGCTGCCGCAGTAACAGAGTAAACACAGAGGAGGAGTCAGTCTGTGGTCAGGTGGAGAGCTGCTGAGGTCCATTAGCCCAGCATTGCACCATTAAGCGGTGAGCTATTGCAAAAGACAGGGTGATTACTCAGCCTTGCTTTAGCCAGCTCTAGCTAATGTGCTAAGAGGCCAACATGTGATTAGTGGCTCATGGACAACCAGGCAGAACAGTTCAGTAAAACAACAAGATTTTGATTTTCACTTACCGTAAATCTCTACATACTGAACGCTGACAGCTTTAAATTAAACTATACCTTCTGTTTGGAGGCTTATATGAGAAAATAAAATGGCACAGAAAAACAACTTTTATAGTGTCTGTCTTTCTCTAACTTCTGATGATTTGTATACGTCAATAAAGAAAAACACTGCATTCTTCAGACTGTGGTTGCCCCAGCAACCCAAGGTGGTCCTCCATGAATGCATTCCCTCAGACTGCCTCAGTGAGCTCGGTCTAAACATGGAGGTAGCTGGACTATACAGGCTGCTTTTCTAATTTCAAGTAAAATGACTGCCCTCAATTAAACATCTTCAAATACTAACGTCTCCCCCGTCAAAGGACCAATGACTAATAATTAGTTATGTTGCTACAAGAAACAACTGGAAGAGAAATCAGAGAAATTTATATTTTTAAAGATTCAAAATAGTGAAAATGGAGCCAGAACTGCATGGATTATGCAAATGCTGGAAGTATTTATTTATTACCGTTTTAATTTCACGTTGGAAGTGTCTTACCAATAAAAACCTAAATAAAATACAGCACTCGTAATTGCATTTTTCTAGGAAAGGCGTTTATTTTTCCACCTCGTCTGAAGAACGCCATGAATAAAAAAGGGGCTTCTACGGCCAAGGATTTAAGTTATGCAATAGGACTCACTTTATCTCCCACAGAGGTCGCACTAGACAAAAGGCACAACTGATGTGAACGCAGCTCTGACACATATGAGCTCAGAATAGAAGTGAAATCATTTATTCACAAGTTACAGATCATGCCAACACTACAGACCTAAAAAACTATCAAGTCTAACCCACATCATTGGATTGTGCGTCTCAACCCTTTGTGTCCATCTGTGACAACACACTGAGAAAACATCATGAACGTTTGAGGCGTGTGTCTTTCTAATGACATGACTATGGAATGACAGTGACAATGAAGTATGCGAGTTGTCACTTTCACAACAATACAAGTTAGACAAGTGTCTAATTCTGTACAGCATGGCCTTTATACTGGTATGTTAATAGATTTTTATCACAGGGCATTTACAAAACAATGCGTGACTTGTGTTGATACACTACCCGCCTAAATCCACACCCAGGTAATTGCCCCATCTGCCAAAGGAATGAATGACCTTTGCAGACAACATAATGGCATCTGGAAAGACATGGAAATAGTTCACATCATGCCAGCAATGGTAGATTTAGATGTGCACTTAGACCGTTCTTAAATTATATTCCATTTTAGCATAATTAAAACCTCCAAAACCTGGAAACAAACAACGCACTGTTTTTTTTTTTTTTTAAGAAGACACACATACTGTACAGTAGGATTACATCAGTCACATGTTCTGAAGCGAGCAGAATATCCTGTGTTGCAACTTCTACTGCTTAACAAATATAAATCACACTAATTACTCCTAATAGCCTAAAACTTTCAAAATAAGGTTAAAAAATGTTCAGAAAATGTAACAAAGGAAGGAGAGCTGTTCCTGTCTTTGCTCTGAACGACAAAGGTTTGAGTGGAGTGATCTCGTTCAGTTTTGGCTCAAGACCATGTTATACAGATTAGAATCCACGACCTGTTAATCCATTTCTAAGAATTCATGATCAGGTGGTTAAATGCCCGAGTGGAAAGAAATCCCTTTGAGTCCCGAGAGGTGGGAAATAAAGAGTGCTATGGTACGCTGCTCTGTGTGTGAAAAGACACATTACAGCTCATTTTGATCTGTGTGTGTTTGTGCTGCTCGAGGGCCCTCACCGTGCACTCCAGCTTGGGACAGTAGGGCGTGTCACCAAGGATGTCATCCTCCGGCGGTGTGATGCGTAGGAAGTCGAGGTGATCAGGGCGTGGAAAGCGGGAAAGGGGCTCATGAGGGTCATCACCATCCAGCATCCAAATGTCATCATGACGCAAGAGGGAATCCTCTACACAAACAAACACACCAACACCACAGGGTAATCAACGCTTTAACAGGTGTGGTCTTGTGTGATGAGGCTAAATAGGCAGCACTGACTGAGGCTGTGTAACCTGCGCGGGGAATAAAAGCGGAACCAGTTAGAAAGCAGGCATCAGAATCTCTTAGCATCAAGCAAGAGAGACCACTGTTTTGCTGCAGGCTCGAGGGCAACAGTCTATTTTTATCTGCACTTAGCCGGCTCTGTTCCCATCGTCGACACCAGCAGAAAGCCACACTGATCCAATAAGGAAAAATGGCTGCAGAGCACTAGCATTAAAAGCAGATCCCGTTATTGATTTGCATTGAAGAGATGCACTGCAACAGAGCCAATGCCGTTGTTCAGCATTACCAATGCACTACAATAAGGTCAGCTGTAGATAGGTGTGTGTTTAGTCGCCCAAAGGCCCTGAAGGAGTGAAAATACAGGACTTCAGATTGGGGAAGACTGCCCTCTCCTGACCAGGCAGTCACACAGAAGGTGACGAGTGACATTTTAGAACATTAAGCTAAAACCGGATAAAAGTGCATTTTAAACTTTTAAATAAAATGTCTTTCGTCAGTTCCGTTTATGCCGCAGTATGCTGGGGAGGTTGGATTCATTCCATGCATTTCAGAGCACCTGGCCCTTAATATTTACTGCTCAGTGACACAATGCAGCCTCAACCTGAAGAACCTCCCTCATGCGCTGTGCCCCGAACACGTCACATGGTATCCTGACTTCAGGAGCCAGGATAGTGCCTCACACATGCGCATGAGCAGAAATGCAATTTCAAATTCTTCTAACATGTATGGGAACATGATAGCTTATATCTTGGCTTGATGCATGCAAGAGTCAATGTGCACTATTTAGTATGCCAGAAAAAAGATTTAGTGTGTGCCAAAACATATTCAAATGTAGAATGTCCTACTGCATCCCGTCACATTTTGCAGTATGCAAGCCGTACATACTTTGTAAGGGCAGCCACAGTACGTACTAAAAGTAAAAAGAAAAAAAGGCAGTCATGCAAGAAAAAGGGCGGAACAGTGCAAGAGAAGAGATATGAGACAGTGAGGCAAAATAATAAGGAGGTGGAGACAGAGGAGAGAACATAGTGGGAGTGAGAGGGGGGAGGGTACACATCTTGAAGCTCGTTGACCTCAATTTCCTCCAGCTGTAAGACATCACTTTGACTTCTTTGGGGAGAATTATGAGCTGCAAACTGAGAAAATTCACATCATCTCTTCCTGTTTGATAAGCTGCTGACATACTGTATCCCATAACGTCTCTTTGTAATGAGTACCCCTGAAGAGGACATACAGTATTTCCGTATTGCTGCCCAGCAGCCACTTCTAAACTTTTGGAAGTCCGCTAGTATAGTTGCTGTATAGCTCCCCAGAGTCTGAGTCTCAGCCAAACGCTTTAAATTCAGTTATCGGCTCACACACACACACACACGCAAAACGGACTGGGGGGGGGTTTCATTAAAAAAAATGGAAGCATTGAAATTCAGCCTCAGTGCTCTACCACAATCAGTCATTATGAGACGGCAGCAATGCCTGCAGTCCCTCCAGTTATCTAGGACTTGGGACAGCAGGGGGAAAAAGGATTAGATTAATAACTTTCCATTATGATAATGCTGCGCTGCATGGTGCCGCAGTGGGAACTGCTGACTGTAGGTTGGGACCCTTCCAAATGCAGAGTTAAGCCCAGTCCGGGCCAAGGAAAGACATTTGTGATCAGAAACAGCTCTCTCTACAATCCCTCTTAAATATATAAAATAGGCAAACAATGAACACCTATTGATATACGTTGGCTATGTTCATTCATGACTCGGCTAAACAACCTGGATCTTGTACATGTGTGACAATGCTTTCCCAAATAAATTGACAGTCACATAATTAGAAGTGCACGGCGGCCCACACTGCCACCATCTGGACAGGGAGAGGAAGAGGCATATTTTTCTCGCTGTAGTCAAACACTGCAGTGAAGCTCTAATGTCAGTGCTGAATGCTAGAAGGTAGACATAGCGATGTAACGCACGACACTGCAATGTAATGACAGTAATCAGATATGGAGAATCAACTCTTACATGCAATAGGTAATGAAGGCGCTGCACTCTTCCATGTACACACACACACAGAGCTTAGGTTCGCTGGCCATGGGGAAAACTGAGCGCTCATTGCCATATAATCTTCCTCTCTGCTGCTCGAAAAGCTGAGAGTAAATCACGGTGTCCATAACTGAGCGGACACAGGGTGCAGTACAGTTTGGTCGAATAGCAAGTAATGCTGACTGGAACATCCTAACACGAGACAACAGCAGAAATACCTATACGCATATCTATAATTTCAGATCTTTTCACAAAGCAACACTAGCCTATCTCCTCTCACGCTAAAGTCTCATTGTTGTTACAGACATTCAAACAGCTTTGCCCTGTCTGCCCTATTTTATCCACTAAAAATCTATGAACCTCATAATTCAAAGTAAAATAACTAGGCCATGCGGCAAACTGAGGTGCATCTGGCATCCTCACCACCACCTCCATCACTTTTTAGGCAGGAAGAAGAATCATAGACTTCTATATAAAGCATGAAAAATGAAGGATTATAAATCACCCGGTTTCTTTTTCTACGCAGGCTTGTCGGCCGTGCACGGCTGTCAGGCTGGCTGATAGACTGACTGGTTTGGCTGGCAGTGCTGAGGTCCATGTGAGGGGCGAGTTGAAACTCAGCTCAGGGATCAGTGCTGTGGTGCTTTGAGGGCCAGAGCAGCAATGTAGCATGACACGATGCTCACAGAGTCATCATTATTCATTTGAAATGCAGTGCTGGAGGCTAATGGGATACACAGAACTGAGGAAGAGTGAGGAGTGCTTTCATTGGGCCTGGCGGGCCATTAACTGGGAGACAGGAAATTTGGTTAAAAAGTCACTCCAGTCCACTGGTGGGTGCATGTTTAAAAGAGTGAGACATTGAGGAGAAGCCTTTAAAAAGCTGCTCATGCTGAAAAGCACGAGATGGAACATATAGCTACCATTTGCCACGGTGGTAGCGAAGGAGTCATTTATTAAAGAAAACAAGTTACACGTTATATGAGAAGGACCTTTGTGCCCCGTTTCACTGCACGTAGTATGCAGACCGAGAGAAGCAGGTTTTGGCAGAATCCACTTCATTATCTGAATAGAGCCGGCCCTTGTCTTCACTGAGGGAACAATGTTGCATGGCAGGGCAATTTGTGTTGAATGACAGTGAGCTGGGAGAGCGGGGTGATATACTCCTGCTCTGCCCTGATCAGTTTCATATGACCTTGCAGGAACATATTTGGTAATCTGATTATGGTATATGTCAGACAATAAAATAAGTAGGGGAAGGAAGGGAGGGAGGGGGACGAATGGCTGATTGGACTGAAAAGTGATGTTTTAAAGCAGCCATTATCAACATTTTGACAGTGGATCAGTGTAATGTGAAAAAGGTTGCCCCCAGCTCTACCGAGCTTTATGGCGTCTTTTAGCTAATTATTCTGAGTTTCTGGCCCACAACTTCACTGTTTGGCTTTAGTATCACCACTCTTATTATCATTTTTGTGCGCAGGCCAATGTAAACGCTCTACAAACCCACTGTATACTACATGCTCAGCAACAAACAGCAGACAGACAAAGTTAATGGCTAGCTGGTGAACAGAGCGGAGCAATAAGCTGTGTATCAGGAGCTGGTGACGACCGAAACAGAGCTAAAAGGAGAGTAAATAGTGGATTTACATTTACCAGGTGGCCGGAATAAATGCAAATGTTTCCCTGTATCTTCTTGATGTGTAAAATAGGCAAATGTATACTAAGAAGTTTCCCCATGTCCACTGAGAGATGATAATATGTCAGTGTATTTGTAGCTTGTTTCCACTGTCCCCAATCTATTATTGCAGGTTCTTGTGCAGCTTTAAACTACTGATATAGTATAAGAGAACAAGCAACACAAATGCTAACGTAAATGAAAACTAACAAACATACATTACGTAGGTAATGTGTAAACACACATGCAACCACTTACAGACCTTCAGTGAATGTATAGACAGAGTATTACAGACTACAGAGCATTAGCACATGAAACAAACAACAGAATTTATTACTTTAAAATCACAATCTCTGTCTGCATCATCACCCTCATTAATAAGCATTGAGATTAAAGAACCCGTATTATAATTAGTGCGCCATTTGCGAACTATGAAGGGCCGGGCTTCTAACAGACCCACTTAGCCCTTTTGGCTGGACCCTGTGATGTTCGTTTTTCTGTGTTAACATCAAGTGTATTCAATTATCACGCAACACAAGGGCGATCTAGTAAGCAGCTAAGATGCGGCAAAAAAAGAACAAAAGGATCTATTTTAAGATGAAAGGTTTGAGCTTTGAGTGCGAGGACTGTGCAGCATTAAGCATTTGGTTAGCATGATGTAGCCAACAATGTAAGTGTATCTTGCTCTGTCACAGTCTCATACAGACAGCTTATGGCTTACAATATCATGCAGTTACATCAGCTGCTCAGGATATTAAAAAAACAGGGCTCATAATGTCACTTTTGACATTTGCAAGAACACTGAATTTAATTATTTTTTTTTTTTTTAAAAGGTGTGGTGTAATGCCAGAAAATGTGGATTATGTGTGCGTGCGTGTGTGCCTAAATGTTAATGGAGGCATCTGTGTGTGTGGCATCTGTGAATGCAGAGGTGAGGACATACAGGGACAGTGTCATTTCAGTGGGAACCGATCCAAATGATTGCCACATGAGTAAAGCTGGGCTATCTATTCCCCTATCCACCAGTTAGCTTAGCATCACACAGCTCAGCTCAGCTCAGCCCTCCTCCTCCTCCTCCTCCTCCTCCTCCTCCTCCTCGGCTGTTGCTGAGCATCGCATTGCTGGCTGTGTCGGTTGTTCTGGTTCTGGTCTGTGAAGTGATGAAACAACTCAAATACTCTGGAGCGTCCTTAGAAATGCAGCACAGTTCTTGAATTAGAGGTAAAACCAACCATTATCCACGGTCTATTAGTAAATCACAGGGAAGGCCATCTGATGCTGCTGCAAATTAAAGCAAAGATTGTGTTGAGCTGACTGAAAGGTATGAATAACCACCTTACAGATGTACATAATGCATTCATGCTTCTGACATTATTAAGGCTTTGCAAATATTCTACATGCTGCGAGTATTTAAAACTCAATCATTGTAGACAGATACAATGGCACAGATTATGGAAAGAGGAAAGGAGTTCTGCAAATAATAATCCTTTTCTCTGTAACCCTCGGGCCTGCTGGGTCACGGATCCTTTGTCAGTTTTCTGTGAACTGGAGAGGATGTGGATTTAAGGGAGAGACAGCAGGTCCCTAAAAGTCCAAATTGGCAATGCTTCAGTTAACACCGCGCTCACGAGAACCCTGGTCAGGTCGAACCCCGTGTCAACTTTGAGCCTTTGATCTGGGACACTCCCACTAATCTCTGCCTTCCCTACGGCGCTTAGAGAGTTAAAGTGGATCATCAGCCAAAGTATTCTCAGGCCCCGTTTGCCCCTTGTGCAACTCTGCTGGGTAGTTTTTAATTTGTGGTCACAGCCAAGATGTGAACACAGCAATAAAAAACAAACTACCAGGAGAGGGCTAGCAGAGACATTTGAGAATGCGATGCACATTTAATGGAATGGCTGGTTTATTAGACAACAGCCGGGGTGACAAAGTAAAAGAAAACGTTTGTCAGTTACAATGCTGCAGAGTAATTGCTGACACAGACTCGCACACAAAGGCACTTCTTTCTTGTTCCGCTCTTTGAAATCCAGCAACAGCAATGCCAGATGAAGGGCACATTCTGACAAACGCTTCATGCTACTAAGGTGATAAAAGCACTCGTGTTGACATTCACGTCGAGGCAGGGAGTTCGAACATGAATCAGTGTGTTCAGAGTAGGAGCAGTGTGAGCTCTGATGGCTTACCTGTTGTCGTGGAGTTGCTGGAGGAGTTCCACTTGAAGTTGCTGGGCCGCCTGCTGAGGTTCAGTTCCAGACGGGCGACAGTCCGCTTGTTGCCGTTGTTGTCGATGACCTCGGAGAAGAGTTTGGCCTCATCTGTGTTACTGGAGCTGTCTTGTTCGTGGTCCACATCCTTATCCGAGAGCAGAACGATGCGGTGGTTGAGCTGTGGGCTTTCCTGCTTGGAGGACAGAGGGGACAGGACTGGGGACATGCTCTGGAGACTGTTGGAGGCAGGGAAAGATGTGTTGAAGACCCCAGCGAGCGATGGTGAAGAAGGGCTCTTTGTGTGGTATTTAGCTGGGGGGCGAGTTTCGGTGGTATGTGATAAGGGCAACCGTAGCCCCTCAGAGAGCTGGTTACCTGTCTTTTCTCTACCGACTCCCAGCAGGTGGTCTCCGTTTGGTCCTCTCCACTCTACATACCCCTGCTGGCAGCTGCTAGTCCCTGGACGTAGCATGGCTGGGCCGGCCGTGTCGGGGCTCGTGTGGTTGACATGTTGCACTCTCCCTTCCACATCCTGCACTTTAGCCACCACCCTGACCCCTTTATTGAGCTGGTTGATTTCCCCATACAGCTGCTGAGCGGACATGGCTGCTGATCCATTCTCAGAAACGGTCTCACCCAGGCAATCAGACCTCTTAACTGGGCGAAGGTTGTTCCCGCTTTCCCGCCGAGTCAGACCCTCCATCAGGTTGCAGAATGACGACTCATAACCCAGCTCACCGTCGTACTCTGAGAAGTCGTTGCAGAAATCGATGTCGGAGTCAAATGTCCGGTTGTCCTCCATGAAGTCCCAACCCTCACGAGTGATCTGGAAGGGTTCCTCCATGGGCAGGATGGGATTACTGACTGCACTGACACAAGAGCCGGTGACTGGGCTGTCAGTGACATGGCCAGAGGTTGAGGTACCTGGGATCTGCTGCATTACTGAGGCTGAACATGTGGACGCACTGTTGTGAGCAGGACGCTCAACAGATGAAGTGCTACTCTTAACTTTCCTCTTCAACTTACTGTGCAGGATATTCTCGGTGCCGTCAAGCTTCTTGCCTCCCGACTTCTTCAGCTTTTTGCTCTTGGATGTCGCTCTCTTATGCTCTTGGGACACCGTGAGAGACTGGTTGCTGCTGCTGCTGAGGACCTGACCGCCAAGGTGAACTTCCGGACCCTCCATGTAATCCTGGAGTTTCCCATCCTGGTTACCCATCCTGACTTTGATGGCGCAATCCCTACACAGCGACAAGAGATCCGCCAGCAACTGGTGGTGCTCCGCTGCAAGCCAGCAGAGCTCTGCAACTGCCTCCTTTGTTGCCTGCTGGGTGATGAGAAGTTCGCCCGAGGAGCCGGAAGACTGGCCTCTTTGTTCGGAGACTGCGAGATCCTCCTTTCCCCGGTCATGGTCATTACAGGCCATTTCTGAATGAGGGGCGCGGCTCTTGTACTTAAAGCCCGGGGCCCGCCTCTTGGGGAAATACAGGCTGATGTTGCTTATCTCACAGATGGGTGCATATAGGAGCAACACAGTGTGTGTGCCCTCCATGATGGGTGCCATGTTTATCACACGAGCACCCCGAGTAAGCGGTCAGCCCCCAGACGGAGTGATTGGGCTCGGACTGCAAGGGGAGGATCTCCGGCTATTCATCACCTGGCCTGTCCAGACACTGTCAGTGAGAAAGTAGCACACACACTTTTAGATTCTGTGAAGAAGATAGATTATTTGAATGATGATACAGAGCTATTTTTTTTAAGCATAACAATACAAAACTACTCCTTTCCCTACAACAGACCCTCCATATTTCACTGTCAAACTCATTTGTTATTTGAAAAACTAAATAAAACAAAACACTGCATAGATTAAACAAGACATTGACCATACTAACAATATCCTATCTTCTTCATCCTCTCTTCTTGTTGCATGAAACATTTCTAAAACCGCATTTCATCAACATTTCACAAGCTGACTGCCGCATAAAACCTGAGAGTATCCAACAAGGTGACGACACACGCAGAGCCCCGTGCTATTGCTGCCGTTTGAGATGTTTACAAGCAAAAACAGGCGCACATCTTGCATGTGCTTCAACGGATTCCCTCGACATTTGGCAATATCTCTGAGTTGTTTACATCATAACATAATCCCGTGGGTAACCCTCACCTTGCAACAAGCCCAGCTGGTGCAGTTGTCAGTGTTAAAATGGCAGCATAGTTACACTAACCCTACGGGGGTTACTGCTGCCCATTGCGATTGAAATCGAGAAATATTCAGTTACATTTATTACAAATTAAGATGTAATGCATAAAGCTCTGCATAAGCAACATGCCAGCTTCACGTCAATGTCATATATTCAATTAGGAGCTGAAAGTGCGTTACAGTGCACTGCACCTGCAGCAGGTGAAGCACAGCAGCACTTGGAGAAATACAAACAGTTACTTACCCGATTTAGCGGCATGGCAAATAATTCTTCACATCTCTGTACTGCAGCCAGCTCACCGCTGCCTCGCAGAGCTTGTCTGTGGTGACTGACAGGAGTTTGGTCCAATAGATGAGCTCAGCGCCGGCTCGCCGCTATTTGATTGGTTGCTTAGTATTTGTCCACATCCCGCATTTTGAGTCAGTGCAGCTGCAGCTTGCAGGTAGGCCATGTGATGGGTTTCAAGTCTGTGCATCGTGAAGAGACGGGGCCAAGTATGGCTGAAATGTATTTAATTTAACAGTTTTTAGTGTGTCGCAGGCTTACATTAGTACTTTGTTGTACACGCAGAGAGATAAGAGCATGTGAAAGTACCTGCTCTCTAAAGGCCCGAGGTGGTGCCATTTCTTACGAAACAGAGACATCTAGTGGCCAACATGTGCATTGCTATTATACCACTGAGCTGGATCAATTCAACTATTTTCTTGATTTATGTATTCATCTCTGCCAAGGACGCAATCTCTTCAATCAAGTTATAGCATATATTTCTATGACAGGGAGCAGGATATCTAAAAAATATATTTGTTGATGGGGTGAACAATAGTTTATTGAATTTGTTCTTGTTTAGATGCTGTGGCAGTCACAATAACTTAGCTTTCAGACAGAACATTTACAAGAAAGAAAAAAGCTCAGACAACAACACACAGAGGGAGACCAACTTCATTCATTTTTTCAGGTAGACATATTACTCCACTCTATCTTACCATAGCAAATAGCTGTTTATTTGCTGCTATATTAATGCTCTCCTCAGCATAATAGTCTAATTTCAGTTCCTACCTGTCATTGTTTTGCGGGGCACAGGTGTGAGTGTAACAGACTCCGAATAACGTATGCAACAGTTGAGTGGGGACCCAGAGAGTTGTTGACTAAAGGAGATTATTCAAGGAGAACCCGCAGACCAGAAGGACCAGTGCTCGCGACCAACCAAGAGAGTAAGTAAGTAAGTAAGTAGGGTAAACTTACTGAAATAATTATGATGAAAAGTACAAAGGGTTGTGAAATATGAACGTTATGATTAGCCTGGTCGTTTCAATGGGCCATTTTCACCGCAGCAAGGCAAGCACAGGTGTAATCAATCAAATTAATTATGGTCCCATGCTAATTACTGTCTGCCATTCCAGTGAGCCAGCATGCAACAATACCGGGGACCTGGCCCACCTAAATGGAACAGGGCCATAATTAACGTTGTGATTATTTTCACCTGTTTACACTGCAATGACATGTCGAAGTGGCTGCTGTGAAGAGGACCCATTTGGGTCATAAAGACAGAAAAGGAGGAAAGAGCATTTGTAATCCTAAATGGAAGAGCAAATTTATTTAACTGCGGGTCAAGACCTTTTAATCCGCCCACTCCACAGAGTTAGAGTCCACTATAATGAGTTGACGTCTGTCTGATATCAGGCAAGGTACAGTACAGGGAGGAGAGGTACTGAGCAGATGTTATGCCACAGTGTTGACACTAGAGGGCGGCATCGCATAATGATAATAAGGGAGTATTTGTGTTTGTTTAATTTAGTTGTGGAGGTGAGCATAGGCTTCTTTAAGGCAAGGCTGATGGTCATCTTTGATTTAACAGTGAGACCAGACTGATTGCTGTTGTCCCTATATTTAGTCCACGGAAAATATGTACAGTGCATTCATATATATTTTTATATTCAGTTTGATCTCATTTAATGTTAAATCATTAAAACATAACGTTTTAAGTAGTTTAACAAGTGTACAATTAGAAGTCATTTTTGCAGCCTGGGATGTGCGCTTATAGGCTCTCTTAATGAAACCCACTGAATCTCAGCTCTCTCAGATATCACCCCTTTTTTAAATTTGCTTTTTAAAATATTTTGTCGCATAATGTAGTAGCTTGTATAAATAATAATGATACATATTACCTACATCATAGCAAACACCTTGTGCATATTATGTTGTAAGCTACAATACATGTAATTTGTAATCGTAGATATAGTAGATTGGTGTTGATATTGGAGGATGTTTGTCCGTCTGCTTTTTTCCACTTCCAACAGTGGTAGTAACACATTCTCTGTGTAGCAATACGTGTACACTAATGCTAAGCTATATAGACACACGCACTGAAGCGACACTTGCACTGTGTAGTGGAGCCTTAACAGAAAAGGGTGCTGACCATGGTGCTGATCTGGACCAGCGCTGGGAAATAGCAGCTACCGTGAATTCCCTGCGGACTAGAACCACGCTGTCGCTTTCCCTTTTCACTCATTAGCATGTTCTCTGTGAATCCGTAGCTCGGTGATAGGGCGGGAGGGAACAACAACTGACGAGATACCTGTTAGGTGGTGACCATTTCAACGCGTTTATAGCTCTTTGTTTGAATATTCGCGCTTTCACGGTTACGGTCTACCGGTGACGTCGAAGATAAAGACCCCGCTGCTGTATCTCGGCTACACGACTTGGCTTCTCCCCCGTCCCACCCCCCGTCCCCCTGGTGGCTCCAGCCCACCGATGCTGACACACACTCCTCCTCCTCCTCCGGGTGGCGAGCGGGGCTTGAGCACAGGGGCTTGAGTGACAGATGCTGCGGTAGTGTCCCCGCTGCATGGCCGTGGATTAGCTTTATGCTAATATCGAAGAGGAGAGAGGAGCCAGCGGAGGCTTCCCGAGTCTGAACAGGCTCCTCTGCAGCCATGGCTGAAGGTGGAGAAGGAGAGGACGAGATTCAGTTCCTCAGAACTGTAAGTATTCGCTTTCCTTGTACTTGAAGCGCTGCCCCGGCGACTGTGGATATGCGTGTTTCTCTTCTTCTTTTTTTTCACGGTACCTTGCGTGTTTGATTATTCCTGTCGATCGCCGGTCACTTGGCTTTCCTCCCACACCTCATTGCATCCTACAGCCTTTGATAACCCTCTGCCTTCTTGCAGATGTTAAGAGGCGGCGGGAGTGCGCTGTTGTTTTGCGCATCGCTCACTGACAGCTATTGTCTTTTCTGCAGTATCTGTCTCAAGAAGTTGACAGCACTGTGCGTCCCATGGAAAACTTACATCATGCACCTTGCTGCACCTTGCTGCACCGTCGTAGTCACAGTCTCTTCCCTTTGACAGGTTGCCAGTAGCACGGCCACTGTGATTTAACTTAATAAGCCATTAATTAACTCACAGAATTAAATGGTTTGTTCTTCAGGAATCACTTAAATATCGTCCAGGATGAATGGAGCTCTGAACCAGTGCACATGCTGTATTATAATATATTCAAACGTGGTAGCCGGCCAGTGTTACTGCCTGTACAGACAGTCACCTCAGGGTTCCTGCAGCAGCAAAGGTCTATGTAAATGAACCGAGGACAACATGTTGTAATAAATACAGCATTGCTGCATCAGAGCCAGGTTTCTAATGCTGTCTTACTTATGGAAATAAAGCCAGTATAGACAGACTGTATTATATGGTCATAAAAAGAAGCTGTAATTAATTATTAAACAGCTCTTCTTGGCTCTTGTATTATACTACAATAAAACATATTTGCCTTTTTTATTATGTATTTCTTCAGCTGAAAATGCATGTGGAAGATTGGACAATGTCTGGCATTGGTTGTTCAGAGAGGAACACTTTCCACTGTTGACAAAGATAGACACTGACATAATCTGCTCATCTATGGTGAAATGCATTGAGAGGCATATCATGTCACACTTGTCTAGGACGGATGAAGGAGCAGAACGCTGGAGGTCTTCCAGAAAGACCCTGAGACAGTAGGAGGTGTTTGGTTGCACATATTGCTGGCTCTGCTGTTTGTGGTTTCCCTTTTTATTAAGCTGCTCACAGATGCGCAACCTGCTGTACTTTGAGGTAAACGGAGCAGGCATGTTCTGGTTTGTAATGCAAATGATTGTAACCTGGCTATTTTTTGTTGAAATTTCCAAACGTATTTTACAAGGCAATGTGTTTGTCATCTCCTAATAATGAACCCTATTTTACCCAACAAATAACAGTACCATGTAAGCAGACACAATGCAGAACCATAACTCTACCTTTAGGTATCAGAACAGCAGTAAGAGATGGACTGTCGACTAAGGCAGTGTTTGGGCACTGAAAGGCGTACCTATCCCCAGGACTAACATTGATCTTTAAAATGTTTATTTTCACTCAGAAAAAGCTGCTACCTCCTCCTTATTTGTCCCCCAACCTTTAAACCACAGCACATAGAGGTCACCACATCAGCATGCCTGCCACTCCAAAAAAGAGCTGACATTTCAGCACCACTCCTCATCTCTGGGCTGGAACTTAAATGCCACCAATTCACAATCAGGATTTTCTTTTTGTGAACAAGCTTCATGAGAGTTGTGGATTTGACTGTTCTTTCCTTGCTTGGCTGTTCTGGTTTCCATTTGTTGGATTCACAGGGAGCATTTTTTCTCCAGATGTAACCTGGGGAGAAGAATTCCGACGACATTGACTAAAGGAAACTGCTGTTGCTTTAAAAAGGGCTTAGCGGCAGCTTGTTGCATCCGTCCGTCTGCACAGGGAAGCAGCTGACAGGCTGGATGGTGTTGTGATGGAGGCGCAGTGAGCAAGCTTGGTGTTCGTGTGTGTGTGTGTGTGTGTGTGTGTGTTGAATGCAAATACGGAGCTGTAGCTGTCTGGTGCAGTCAGGCTGCACCAGACGTGCCACAGCAGAGCACAGTGCAGAAATTATTCATCAGTCCCAGCAAGGCACATCTGAAGTACTCAGTGTAGAGGAACAGACACACACACAGACTGTACAGAGACGTACAATTATCCATAGTGCTGAAACAAGTGCTCGACTGGCTGCACATATGCCTATTCACAAACATCCTGCAGACACAGTCTACACTTTCTTTTTCATAGGTGGCACTAAGTGGCGAACCGTCTGTGTCGGTGTGAAAGCTGTACATTTCTTGCCGGCATCCGAACGTTGCTTGTTATTGGAGTCAAGGAGCTTGATAAAGCAGTTCACAAACTGCCTTTTCTCCAACAGCACAAAGTAATTTCCCTGGAGTGGCAGCAGAAAGTACCCCTGTCGGACCGCTGCCTATAAAGTCAACTCAGTGGGAGGAGAGAGAAAGAGTGAGGGTATCTCAGCTGTGGGTAATTTGATGGTACAGGAAGAGGAACTGTGCTGATTATGAGCCAGGAGAGTCAGAGAAATGCTTCCCCCAAACTGCTGTTTAATATGAGAGGGGGCAAAGGGGGCCGCCGCCACACTTTAATAAGGCTGCATATTCTACAGGAACTTTATTCGTCCTGTTTGGAAACTGGATATGGATACAAGCTCCAGCAGCACTGCCTTTGTAATAAGCAGTATAGTGAATAAAATATCAGCTAATGGTTAGAGTAGTTCAGGCTGCTCATTAGTAGTTTTTCTAAATGAGCTGCTTGCCTACTGTGCATTGTGTCATTTGAGCAGGCGGAGAGAAGAGTTTTTTTTAGTTTTAATCCGTAAAACCATCTTGACAGACGCCACTTATTAGTAAAGCCACGGTACAGCGTGCGGTAAGACCATCAATGCACGGGCACACGCTCGCAGCTTCTCTGTTGTGAGGAACCCTGCTAGGCGAATATCAGATTCTGGGGATCTATTCGCAGTTCGAGTGGGAGTGGGGACTTTGAAAAGGCCAGACTAGGGCTGTGACTAATGCACTGTGGCAGCGTTTGGCTTGTTTATGTGAAGGCACTGGTCTCACTCTGCATCCAGCTGATGACTGTCAATGAGGCAGCACACAAGTAATGCAACGAGCCAGACCCAAACATGAATCACACCAGAGGAAATGCACAAGACCGTAAAGCAGTAAAGGGTTCATTTTGGTTTTGCAACATGCCTGTGACACCAGTGCAAGAGCTTTTTGGCTCCTCACCCACTTGTGACTCTGTGAACAGACTGCTGGGCATCTCTTTGCTGTTATTGTGTTGCTGTTGCTCTTTTTTGCTCTTCTTTCCCTTTGAACATATTTTTACTTTTCACTTTTATCTCTCATCTCCCTGTGGCTCATGTGCTTCTCATATCCACAGTAATCTATTATGTCTTTGCATGTTATGTGTATGCATGTGCTACTATTTGAATCTGTGTATTTATGTGTGCAGACAAATATATATACTTCCTTACTATAAAACTGTATACTGTTCGACCACATCACTTAAGCAGAGACTGTAAAGAACACGTTTCCAGGTTATTACCGACCTTTTAATCACAATCCTTAAAAATGTTTTCAAGTTGAAACTTGTTGTTGCATGATTATAGCGCTACAAGTACGCCTGACTCGCTCCATATTTGGCTCCTCTATCACTCGCCCTGTGTATAATTATTAGAGATCACCATGAAATGATTCCCACTGATGGGAATTCAGTTCAGCACATCATCACATTCTACTTGACACTAAGGAGGGGAGCTTTAATGTTATTATGATGAGGTCTGCTGTTATTTCATGGTTGAATTAAAAAAGTAATAGCTCAGTTTCATGAGGAACCGAAAGGCTTTCTGAGCAGACTGGTGCAGATTTGAGGGCAAAGATTCACTCAAAAATAACTTTGTGAAGAAATGATATCATGAAACCTCCAAAAAGATCTTTACTTGCAAATTGTCACCGGGAATATTGTCTCGTCTGGTGTTTTTGCCATATGTTTTTACCAGCTGTTACTGGTATATCATTTATTCATTTTTGACGTACCCGTCTTGTGCAAGTGTGAAATATAATTGATCTAGAATGTTTCTTTTCCTGGGCAAGTTGCATTTAAGACTTCTCTGAATGCAAAGTTATATCATGTATAAGGCAAGCAGGGTATTAATCAAGTACATACTCTTTTTGTGCACTGCACATATACTTCTATATTGCACTATTGATTTCCTTTATATCTCCCATAACATAACCTGAGACTCCTTCAACAACTCAACTTGCAGAAAAGTAAAGTTGGTGTGAGGTTTAGTGTGCGGGAGTGTTATTCAGCAGCAGGCTGAGTCTCTGTGCTGCGTGATGGAGATGGACAGATAAGATAGGCCTGTGATGTAGAGGGAATTAAGCCAGCGGGCCTGCCCAGAGACCAGCCAGCGTAAAGCTGCTGTAATGAGCTATTGATCGTGCCACCAAATGAAGAAATTTCCTCAGTAATGTCAGTGGCATGCAGTAAGCAGGCTTGATTGATCTGGTGTTTCAGAGCATGAATATTTAATAGGCAGTGTAGGAAGCTTCTTCCCAAAGAAGACCCTGCTGTTCTTTTCTTTTTTGGTTGTAGGCCTCCAAGATGTCTGCCATTTATGTTTGCAGCTATAGAATCAGAGGGTGGCAAGCCTTGATATGACCATACTGACTAATACTTAACTTCTCTCATTTATTTTTTTGTACATGGGAACACTTAAACATATACAAAGTGTCCTCGTTGATGACATCAATACGCTTACAGATTTTTCATGCTGCCAGCATCAAAATTGTTTAATTATTAAAAGATATTAAACACTGGCCATTCAACCGTTAAACCTCTGCGGTGCAAATCTTTAGTGATGATTAGTGTCAAGCCACCTTTGAATCCCTCCCAGTAGTGTATGTATCTAGTTAAAACCTAAATGAAAACAGATTTACTGTGAGTCATATTAACGGTTCATGTCTGCCTGTAAAAAGTTGTTTCAAAATCATGTGCAAATCTATGCCGAACAAACTTCCGTGAAAGTTTAATGATTCCATGGTAGCATTTGCTTCCTGACAAGTAAAATATGTTGACAAAATATGTTCCCT